CACCCAAATGTCTTCCCAAAAGAGGGCTGAATTTCCAGAGCAAGCATCATACCTTATGAATTGAAGAAAATTGGGAAGAATGCCATGTATTGCTTTCCAAGGTGTTGTTTGGGTAGCCCGGTGAGATACTCTAGCATCCCAACCAGAGCTAGAATAGCCATGAATGCTATCGACCACCCTATGCCATAAACTTTCTCTTTCCAATGGCCATCTCCAAAGCCACTTCCATAGTAAGGCTTCATTTTTAAGATCTATATTCCCTAGTCCCAAGCCCCCTGCCTCTTTATCGAATCGAATCAGGTCATATCTGAATTCAGTTTGATTACTTAAACTGTATGAATAGAATCTGAATTCGAACGGTTATGATATTTGAATTATCTGAATTTGATTCGATTATGTCGAATCTTAAATTCAAAATTGGATTTTCAAATACTGTAGACATCCCTATATCTATTGATTTGGATAATGTGGCTTACCAAGTGTGATGGTTTTCTATTGTTGTGGCCAAACTCAAACTAACTGGGTTTAAATTGATGGCAACAATGCACAATGTGATTTTTCTAAATGCTGCTATACACTATTCAATAGGAAAACAAATCATATTTTGTAGAGATAGTTGTTAGGTTATTAGTGTGTGTGTGGCTCCAGCCCCACACTTTATTTTATTATTTATTTCTTTATGTTACAGCCTTTGGTAGTTGGGCCAGTTGGGCCTTGTTTATTTTTCATTTGTTTTTAAGTAGGGGTATTAGAGTAACTCCTCCTTTTGTAAGGTCATAAATATATATATATATATAGTGGGACGACAGATTCAATCTAACCAAACCCCTCTTTTCTTCTTTCTTCTCCTCTCTCTTCTCCCTCCTTCTATTTGAATCTTAGTTGACTTCTTTTCTTTTTCTTCCTGAATTACATTAGAAAAACACATCTTTTTGATTCTTTTATTCAAGTTGGTATCAAAGCTTGGCGAGGAAAGACTAGGGTTCTCATGTGAGCTTGATCTGGTCGGCTACATAAGAATTCTTTAGAACTGGATTTTCTGCAGCAGCACCTGGTTCTTGGAGGTTGCTGGAGTATTGGAGAATGCCCAAGAAATTGAAAGATTCTTGGAGATTGCCCGGTAACCAAGAAGAATCAGAGAAATTAGGTGCGACCAAGATTAGGGTTTCAAACTGAGGTGGCGATCAGAGTTTTTTCTGAGAAAGGTAACTATCGGTTGAGACCAAGTTCTTGATGACTGTTCATTGCTGTGAATAAATTCTGGGTGTTTTTTCTCTAAATTTTTTAGTTTTTCAGCAGAAAAGAATTTCCTTTTGGTTATTTTCTTGGAGTTTTTTGATCTGTTAGTGCTCTACATAGAATGGACAATGGAGAAGGCTGGAAGTGAGTTAAAAACACAAGGGGAAGGACTTTTTGGGACTGGTAGCATGACTGAAAATCGTTTCAGATTACCACTGTTAGGTTTGGTGGAACCGATTACTTGGAATGGACCCAATCAACAATGATGGCCATTGGAGGTAGAGGTAAATTAAGTTATGTGATCGGAAACACAAAGAAGCCAGCCAAGGAAGACATATCACATCCAAAATGGGTTCAAGAGAATTATTTGGTGATGACTTGGCTATGCAACTCTATGTATCTTCACATAAGCCGAAACTACCTTTGGGCAAAAACAACCAAGGAGATTTGGGACAACATGAAGGAGACATACTCCCAACTTCTTAATGTTGCTAGAGCTTATGAGCTGAAGTGTGAAGTGAATAATCTCAAGCAAGGGGAGAAGCTAGTCTCAGTGTACTTTGCTACTCTGAAATCCCTTTGGCATGAAATTGATCACTTGGAAACTATTGACTGGGAAAGTCAGAGGGATGTAGCAACATATAGAAAACTAATTGAAACAAATAGAGTGTTTGAGTTCCTAGCTGGTCTAAACTCAGATTTTGGCATTGTAAAACAACAACTTCTCACTAGGGAGAGTGTGACATTATCTCAAGCCTACTCATTGGTTCACAGTGAAAAGAGTAGGAGGAAGGTTATGTTGTCATTTCAGCCTATAGAATCAGCCTTAGTAGCAACAAAATCTAAGGTTGGAGGGGAGAAGGAAAGGAAAATGAAGAAGGAAGATAAAAGAGACATTTTTGTGATCATTGTAAGAAGTCAATACATACCAGGGACACTTGTTGGAAGTTGCATCCCCACCTGATGCCAGTGAGACTCAGGAACAAGAAGGGGAGTACTAATGTGGCAACTATTACAGATAATGCATCCACTTCCATCACAAGGACCACATCCTTAGATGCCCTAGCTGTTGCCTGGGCTGCCTTGACACAATTGGAGAATAAAGCTGGTATTTCTGAGTCATCATCTCAGCCTTCAACTACTACATTTGCTAATCCTACTTCAGCCTTTGCTCACACAGGTACAAGAGCTACAACATATCATACTTCAGCCCCAGGTAACACTAGACCTTTCTGGGTAATAGATTCAGGTGCTTCTGACCATATGATCAGTTTATCCACCTTGTTTACCACCTATTGTTTATCCTCTGGCAGAGACAAAGCATCTATTGCCGATGGCTCCCTTGTGCCTATTTCTGGCAAGGGAGACATTAGACTGTCTGATGCCATCTCCCTATCCTCAGTTTTGCATGTTCCTAAGCTTAGTGCTAACTTGTTTTCAGTTAGTAGTATTACTAAGAATCAAAACTGTTTAATGACCTTTTTTCCTGATCGTTGTGCTTTTCAGGATCTAGAAACGAGGAAGGTGATTGGGATTGGCCGTGAGACGAATGGACCTGCTTGAGCATCCACATGGGAAGCAGAGTGAAGTTGGGAAATTGTTTGTCTCTCAGTCTTTGAGTCAAATTATGCTTTAGCATAACCGATTAGGTAATTTGTCTTTTGGGTCTTTGAAGAGTTTGTTTCCAAATTTGTTTGAGTCAGTCCAAGTGTCTAGTTTGAGGTGTGAAAGCTATGAACTTGCCAAACATTGTAGATCAACTTATCTTTTGAGCAATAAAAGAAGCAATCTTCCTTTTCAAATTGTGCATATTGATGTTTGGGGGCCATATCATACTCCTGCTATAAGGGGTACAACTACTTCTTGTTATTTGTTGATGATTATACCCGTTTCTCGTGGGTTTACCTTATGCACTTTCGAGATAAGGTCCCTTCTCTAACCCAGGTTTTCCATTAGATGGTACTGGCCCAATTTGAAGTCAGGATCAAAATTCTCAGATCCAATAATGCCAAGGAGTACTTTGCAAAACCCTTTGCATCATATCTCTTAGATCATGGGGTCATTCATCAAAGCACTTGTCTCCGTACACCTTAGCAGAATGGGGTTGCTGAGAGAAAAAATAGACATATCTTGGAGGTAGCCAGAAACATCATGCTCAACTCTAATGTTCCCATATGCTTTTGGGGGGATGCAATCCGTATAACTGTTTACCTTATTAATAGGATTCCTTCATGGGTTCTAGACATGAAAACACCATTCAACCTTTTGTATCCAGACAAGGACCTGTTCACTATTCCCCTTAAAACTTTTAGGTGTACTTGTTTTGTTCAAATTCTTGGACCTCATCGCTCCAAATTTGATTCCAAAGCTGCTAAATGTATTTTCCTTGGGTATGTACAAAATCAAAAGGGATATTGCTGTTATGAGCTTGTGTTAGGGAGGCGTTTGTGTCCATGGATGTCACTTTTTTTTTTTGAGGATATGCCCTACTATCATAGGGCTTCTCCTCAGGGGGAGAGTAGTGAGGAAGGGATTTCGGCCCCAAAAGTTCCATTACCTATCCCAGTTACTGAGGGGGAGTGTCGTGAAGAGGGTTGTCAGAAGTGTAGGGAGTTGAGAGTGTATCACAGACAGTGGTGGAGGCAGGTTGATTTTCGTCCTCAACAGTCCGGGCCAATCCCAACACCTTCTACAGCTCCAGATCTAGGCACTACCACTACTCCCACTTTTGAGCCCACTGCTGCAGATACTTTGCCTAACACTATTGAGCCTTAGCCTCATTCTTCAGATGACCTTGATCTCCCAATTGCAATTCGTAAAGGGAAGTGCTGTTGTACTTCATCCACTGCTCATTGTATCTCCAAATTCCTTTTTTATGATTGTCTCTCAGAATCCTATAGATCTTACCTGAAATCTATTGCTACTATTCCTATACCCAGAACAATGCAAGAAACTCTATTGATAACTTGAGTGGAAAGAAGCAATGAAAGTAGAGATGGATGCTCTTGTTAAGAACAACACATGGGAACTAGTTGACTAGCCTAAGAGGAAGAAACCTATTGGATGTAGATGGGTGTTTACTGTGAAATATAATGTTGATGGTTCTGTAGAGAAGTATAAGGCCAGATTGGTTGCAAAGCGATTCACACAAACTTATAGCATTGATTATATGGAAACTTTTGCACCAATTGCCAAGATGAATACTATCAGAGTCCTACTATCTATTGCTGCAAATTTTTCATGGCCACTATTTCAGATGGATGCCAAGAATGCATTCCTCAATGGAGATTTACAAGAAGAGAACATGGAGTTACCCCATGGTTTTTACAGTATAGAAGCGGGAAAGAAAGTTCGTTGACTAAAAATGGCTTTATATGGGCTGAAACAATCTCCAAGAGCCTGGTTTGATAGGTTTAGACTGGCTTTGGAAAAATTTGGTTACATATAGGCTCAGTCAGATCACACTCTCTTCTTTAAGAAGACAGACTCTTCCTTGACCCTACTTGTTGTCTATGTGGATGATATTGTGGTAACATGAAGTGATATTAGTGAGATTGAATCTCTTAAGTAGCATCTTCACAAGGAATTTGAAGTGAAGGACTTGGGGGAATTGCGCTATTTCCTGGGAATTGAGGTAGCTCGACCTAAGCATGGCATTTTTATCTCTCAAAGAAAGTATGCTCTTGACTTATTGGAAGAAATTGGAAAGTTAGGAGTAAAGCTTGCTGACACACCCATTGAGTTGAACTATAAAATAAGTGCAGAAAGTGGAGAACTTCTTGAGGACAGGGCTATATATCAAAGGTTGGTTGGGAAACTTCTTTATCTTTGCCTAACTCGACTAGATATTTCATATGCTATCAATGTTGTTAGTTAGTACATGCATTCTCCTAGGACCACTCACCTTCTTGCGGTGGAAAGGATACTTTCTTACTTGAAGAGATGCCCAGGGAGAGGCATACTCTTTAGGAATAGTGGTCACATGAAAATAGAAGTATATACAGATGCTGATTGGGCTGGATGTATTGATGACAGAAGGTCTACATCTGGGTATTGTGCACTTGTGGGGGGTAATCATTTTCCCGGAGAAGCAAGAAACAAAATGTTGTTGCTTGCTCCAGTGCTGAAGCTGAATATAGGTCCATGGCCAATGGTGTTGTAGAAGTGTTATGGCTGAGATCTTTGCTTGATGAGCTGGAAATTGATTATGAGAAACCTCTGATGCTGTATTGCAATAATCAAGCTGCAATTAATATTGCCCACATCCCAAAAGCATGATAGGACTAAGTATATCGAGGTGGACAAACATTTTATCCAAGAGCGAGTTGCATCTCAAGAAGTGTGTCTTTCTTATATTGCCTCAGACATGCGGTTAGCTGATCTCTTTACTAAAGCAGTCACAAAAATCAAGTTGGAGACAGATTTGCTCAAGTTGGGAATGACAAATATCTACTCCCAACTTGAGGGGGAGTGTAGAGATAGTTATTAGGTTATTAGTGTGTGTGGTTCCAGCCCCTCACTTTATTTTATTATTTATTTCTCTATGTTACAGTCTTTGGTAGTTGGGCCGCTTGGGCCTTGTTTATTTTTCTTTTGTTTTTTAAGTAGGGGTATTAGAGTAACTCCTCCTTTTGTAAGGTCATGAATATATATATATATATATATATATAATATTTAGTGGGGCAGCAGATTCAATCTAACCAAACCCCTTTTTTCTTCTTTCTTCTCCTCTCTCTTCTCTCTCCTTCTTCTCTTCGAATCTTAGTTGACTTCTTTTCTTTTTCTTCCTGAATTACATCAGAAGAACACATATTTTTGATTCTTTTATTCAAGTTATTTCTACCTAATTTTCTTAGTGTTTTGCTTAACTCGGAAAATGTAACCTCTCCTGCTCCCAACACCCCTCTTCCAAAAAATAAAATAAAAGAAAATAAGACAAAACAAAACAAAACAAAATAAGGCTTCAGAATTCATTGCTCCTGAAGGTTTCCCTTGATATACTAGTAGACTTTGTATAGATGTAGGGTTCTTGGTGCTCCAATCTATGAACGTTCCATTTAGGAAGTCTTCCATGCCAACTTGTTCATTTTTCTTTTTCATGATTCTCATCTCATAGTTACAGAAATGAGAGCAAGCATGACAAAAGTGACTGCCATGGTGCTCTTAAATGACAAGATGTAAACAGGGGTTTTTGTTCAAATAAATAGGGTTATGAAGATCTTACATTACTGATTTGTGGTTTAAGACCTCTGTAGCTCACACCTGTGTAATTAAATAATTATCTACAAATTAAGCCTTTTGTCAGAAAAAAAACCTCTAGGAAAGCTGGAATTTCAGAATCAGAATTATCTCATATTGTGTTGTGTGTAAGAATATTGATAAGGTGACAATCTTTTCTTATTATATTGGTCACTGTTTGATCAAAACAGAAAATAAATCAATAAAATATCTGTCATTTATTGTTTAATAATATATCTATGTTATGTCTTAACATTTTTTGTTTCAGTAATGATTCCACCTGCAATAAGGAGCTTTTTTCTCTTTTAAAAAATAATAGTTTAATGGGGGAAAAATTATGCCTTCTATTGCGTTGTTTCTATACTAAATATCCACTCCAGTTCCTCACCTCTTTATCTGTGGCAGAGACTCACTGACACACTATGTGAAGAGCTTGGCAAAGATAATCTGAAACTGAAGTCAAAAGTACTATCTTTGTCTTATAGCCATGATGAAAACTCTGACAATTGGTCAGTTTCATTTGCTGCAAAACATGATGACCCCTCACAAAAGCAATATTTTGATGCAGTCATTATGACGGTGAGTATGCCAGTTCCACATGGAACTACAAATTTAGTTCTTCATATATAAATGAAAATAATAGTGACATTGGCTATAGAGATACACCAAATTTAAGGAATTTAGTAAAATTGACCTGAGTGCAGCATTGCACATTTTGTTTTATTTCTCCTCTTCTTCCATTCTATCGTCCTGATTTCTTTTTTCAACTTTAATGTTGGGAAATATATTGTTATGGAGAACGCATTTGTTTTTCCTCAGGCTCCACTATGTAACGTTAAAGAAATGAAGATAACAAAAAGAGGAAAACCATTTGTGCTTGACTTTCTTCCAGAGGTAGGAAATCCTTCTTCTGAATTTGCAGTAGTTTTTACTTTTTACACATTTGCATGCTTACTAATGTTGTGTGGAATCATATTTATCTTATGTTTAAGTTGTCAAGTATAAATGAAGATATAATAAGCATTCTAATAGAATACATTCATCCTCGCATGAACTTTTGGAAGGCAAGCATGTGCATCTTTGCCCTGCATTGAGGAATTGTAAGCTTGTGATGGTTTGTTTACATCTTCTTGTTCATTCTAATTTCTATTTGACATTTCCTGGGTAATATACATGTGGTTCTATTGCTTATTCCTTATTAAAAAGGAAGGTAGATGTTAATTGAGTTGGTACCTTGTGATGGGAATAGTTTGTTTACAAGGGCACCTATTGGATGAGGTAAAGCTCAAATTGCATTTCTTTCACTGTTATCTTAACCACCCAAATAATTTTCAATAAAAGGATATCTTTAATGTTCCAAAAAATTATAGTTGGGGCTTAGGCAGCTATTTGATGCCAATTGGTTTTGTTGATGTAAGAGGGAGAGTGATGCCTAGCACAATATCTCTCGAATCAGAAATTATTCTTCAAGATCTTCCATCTCTTCAAGAGTGGATATCACTTCCAAGGGTTGATTCTTGTAGTTCATGTGGTCACTGACAATCGTAGAGTCAACAGCAACTATAGTCTTCTCTTCCATGACTTTCTGTTGTGAGCCTCTTCCAATTCTCTTAAGATTATTTGTAGTTCATACATAACAATAAAGGAGAACAACCAGACACAATGTCCACCATATCTTCCAATCTAACAATAGTACCTAAATGAACCCATTTGTATCAGGCAGCAAAACCTGGTATTTGGGCTTCCAAGAACTTCAAAGGAAACTTCAATGTTAAGGAACTTAAGAACTTCCAGATTATGATAGTGTCCAAAAACTATGTATAATCTGAAAACCTCGTTTTGGATCAGAATAGCTCCGCTCAACAGTCTATTCATTTTGATTGTAATTGTTTTCAGTATACCATGATTGTTGTACTTTCACCGAGATCTAGTAATAGTGCCCCTTCTGGATTCATATGACTTCAGAGACCAAACATGGGGCCAGGGGCATCCAAGACACCATTTGTGATGTGATGCTTAATGTAACTAATCCCAAGAACTAAATATCTTTCTAGTGTCAGCAGTGTCTGGGATCCGCCCTATGATTTGAAAAATATTTTAGGGTAAAGTCTAAATCTGGACAATTATCTCTTTCATACTGCTACTGGTTCTCTGGAATGGTATGATTCCTTTCCTGCAGAGATGTTAAATGATATATAAGGGATTCTTTTTCATTCTCTCAATTACTATTCAACTCTTATAAGTGCAGAACAATCAGAGCTTTTTCTCCTGAGAGCCAGAGTATTGCAATGACATTCTGTGTATGCTCATTTAGAGAAAAAATTAAAGATGACTTTGGTTTCTGGAATTTTGGATTGCCAGGAACAAAGTTGCAAAACTCTAGAAACAATACCTCACCTAACTTACCATGTTTTTTTTTTTATTATTGGTGACTATAACTTTCTTTGTTAATTTATAAAAAAATGTCTGCTATTTACATGAAGTATTTCAGTCATTGCACTTTTTAGGCTTGTATTTGTGCCTAACCCATGGATCTTCCCATCTAATTAAATTACTAATCATTCTCCATAGGAATGGTCCCTCTAAACAATTGTGTTCTGGTGACACCTTGTTTAGATTAGCCAATGCATCTACAATGCAGTTGGTGCTATTATGTGATCTTTGAAACTAGGTGAAACTAGATCCTATCTCTTTAGTTAGATTTCTTGATATATATTTTTCCAGGGCCCCACTGTTGTTCTTAAGCCAGCCCGTAATGGTTACCTTTGGATCCCCCTCTACAAACAATTGGTTATAGTTGAGATCCTCTGCAACTCTTAGATCTTGGGGTACTAGTAACATTTCTTCTCTAATTGAGTTACCATGCTCTACAGGGCCTGAATATGGTGCTGCTATTTTGCCAACATGATGTCTAAATACTCCTCCAATGCCTGATTTCCCTGGGTTTCCCATATCATACCCATCAAAATTCAACTTGGTATTGTTTGCCGGGAGATGGGGGTGGGGGGATATGTGACGTGTTGCCAGCCTCTAATAATGTCATTCATTGATGAGTAAAAAGTGGTCAATGTTTTTTCTTCTTTCTTTTCTTTTCTTTTTGTTTTTTTAATCAGCAGCAAGCATAGATTTTATTAATACTGAGAATGAGTACAAGCATTTAGGTAGGTGGATAGCCTCAGCTAGCAACCTCGAGATTTAAAGATACAAGAGATCCTCAATTAACCAACCCCAGAACATATTATCTCTTGTTACCCCCTGTTTTGGCAACCCATCAGCTAAACCATTTGAAGCCCAGGGTACCCAACTGATGCTAGTTTTTATCTGCCTCATCATGTTTCTTATCTCCCTGACTATATGGCTATAAAACCAAGTTTCCTCCTGATTATTCTTCAGCCAGCTTGTGACTACCTTGGGATCCCCTTCAATCACAACATTTGTGCATAGGGGTGCAAATGGATTGGATCATGATCCGGTCCAAGATCCGATCCTATTTGGTCGAATCTGGATCACCCCTGTTCAGATCGGATCGGGTTCAGATCACCCCTATCCGATCCAATGTATATTATATATTTATAAATATAAATATATATAATACATATGTATATTTATTTATTTAGAAATATATTTTATACATTATATTTTTATAAATTTGGTATATTATTTATTTTTTTATAAAATATGTATATATATGACGAAAATAATTATAAAAATAATTGTATTTTTTGTTTTTACTTTATTTAAATTAGTATATTTTATTTTTCTTTTAATAATTTATTAATTTTTAAAGAAAACAAGTAGGATCGGGTCAGATCTGAAGATCTGACTTACCGATAGGATTCGAATTCAAATCGAACCCTACCAGATCCGATCAGATCTTTGGATCGGATTGGATCCAACGTGAACAATGTCGGATCGGATTCAAATATACCCTGATTCGAATCCGATCCGATCCGTTTGCATCCCTATTTGTGCAGTTCAATGATCTGGTCTTTCTCAAGCCAATTAGGACTTCCATGAGTTCTGCTCTTGTGGAGTCTCCACACCAATTAGTCCTGAAAATAATTCCTTTACTATTCCTATCACACCCCCAACTCGTGACACTCCTGGATTGTCTAAGCTGCATTCATTGAAATTCAACCTGGAGAAAAACATGGTGGAGGTCTCCAAACAGCAGTAGTTTGCTTCTTTCTGGTAGAGGAGTCGGTTACTATTTTCCACCTTCTACAAATATCATCAATGGAGAATGGAGCAAACAAATCTAATGTTTTAACACAGTGAGCCACCTTGATAATGATATTGTCAATGACCTCAACACCCCTCTCGTTCTCATTGAATAGCCTTGAGTTTCTTTCCTCCAAAATGCACTGCAAAACTGCTGCCCTTATACACCTCCCTAGAAATTTTAAATTTACCCATCTTTCTAGCAGGAGAGAAAGAGTTAAACAAATTCTTCAACTCCCCTGGAGGTTGCCACCTACAAGAAATGCATGCAAAGAAGTAATGCAAGATAGAAGTCACATAATTACCAGAGATTAACAGGTGGAAAGTGTATATTTTTACCCAGTGGACCACCTTTACTGTGATGTTCTCAATTAATGCCTCTCTAGAATAAGTTACTTATTCATTGGATTCCTTCCAAAGAGACCATCTACATAGCCATTCAGTTGACCTTTTGGAGGAGCACCAAGCATCCTATCCTAGATGTAACACAGAAACACTGTATATCTTTGGGCTTGGTTGCCCAAGGATTCAATCCTAGCACTGACTCTTGTTTAGATTTCCAAGCCATGCTCAATCCAAAGTCTAAACTAGCCAATCCAACCTGAACAAAGGTTTGGGTGAGGTAATTTAGGTGCATACTTCTTTAAGCTGCACCCGTAATAAATTTCTTATGTAAGGTTTTATTTTATTATTATTTTTTAAATCTTTTGGCTAGTATTTTACATCAATGGCTGACTTCTTTGTGCATTGAGTGCAGGTGAATTATTTACCACTATCAGTGATAATTACCACCTTTAAGAAGGAGAACATTAAGAGACCACTTGAGGGTTTTGGAGTTCTTGTTCCTTCCAAAGAACAACAAAATGGCTTAAGAACCCTTGGTAAGCAGTCATCCCTAGGAAGTTTTAAAGTAATATGTAAAGAAAAATGTAATCAAAGGCAAGGAACACTAAGAGGTTAGGTAGCAGGGCTCGTCTAAACTCTTGGCTTTGCACAATTAGTTGATTTACTGAAAAAAAAGAACCCTTTGTGAGCATTTTATATGGTTTTATTGGTTGAATAGCTATTTTCCTTTTGAGCAGTGACATTGTAGCTCTTCTATGAATCAGGTACACTTTTTTCCTCCATGATGTTTCCTGACCGTGCTCCTGGTGACCTCTATCTCTACACTACCTTTATTGGAGGAAGCCGGAATAGGGATTTAGCAAAAGCTTCATTGTATGGGAAGCTTAATGGCTTGTGATTTTGGAACCTTCATTAACTGTAGGTCTCAAGTGTTTATTCTTGTCATTTATGTCTGTAGGGATGAGTTGAAGCATACAGTCACTTCTGACCTTAGAAAGCTTTTAGGTGCAGAGGGGGAGCCAACATTTGTAAAGTATATAAAACCTTCTTAAGCCTTTTATTGTCTTTTTGGTCTTTGATGGTTAAGGTTGAACCCTTTAATGGTTCAGGTATTGTGGTTCTTTGATGTTTATTTACGTTTATTTTATATTAATGGCAGTCACTTCTACTGGAGTAAAGCCTTTCCCATGTATGGGCGAGATTACAGTTCAGTTCTGGAAGCGATAGAAAAGATGGAAGAAAATCTTCCAGGCTTCTTCTATGCAGGTAATTGTTCATCATCCCTAAATTGGACTTCTAATTGCATGGAGCACTGCAATTTTTCAAGCTTTATGGAGTCAAAAAGGCTGGCTAACTCTTGACAGACTTAATGGTTAATCAGCTGAGTTTTCTAAGCTTTACTGAGCCTCACTTGATTCAATATCAAATAGATTGATTGATTTTATTTTATAATTTTATAATTTAGTATGTCAAAGTTGCAATTATATGTATTGCAATGCAATTCATATGGCTGTCTATTATTTCAGAAAACAGAAATGATTTCCCATGTCACATCCATGAAATCGAATTTTCATAGCATAACAAATCGTGTCAAAGCTATAAGTCATTGAACTGTGAATTTCTATATTGAAGAAAAAGAAAGAATTTAGCTAAGTGGAACCTTGCCCTATGCCCACATTGACCTATCATGCATATGTATGAACTTGACACTGCCTTTTCCAAGTGACCCAAATAGGCATATGTTGCTGCGATTGCAAGTGCATATTTGAAATGTCCACAGATTGAGGGTATTATTTTCTTATGATCACGTATCAAATATGCATAATTATTCAAAAAAAAAAGTATCAAATATGCATATTGCACCATTTATGGGATAGACATGGAATTTCATAGGCAATCAGTGGAATTTGGAGTAAACAGCAGGAATATGTTATTTGGTCTCAGATTTGCTTTTAATTTTCACCCTTAATGTGGTATGAACTTGTCAGGTAACCATAGGGATGGATTGTCTGTTGGCAAAGCAATAGCTTCTGGATGCAAAGCTGCTGACCTGGTAATCTCATATCTCAACTCAAATGAAAAGATGCTTGTAGAAGAATCCTCACTTAGAAAATAGGAACCATATTTCACTTGGTACTAAAATATCTGTAGTTTCATATTCTCTCTTTATTTTGGTGATTTAAGATGCTATAAACAGTGTGTGGATACTAGCTCCCTGTTTAAAAGGACAACTTAAACCCCTTGAGCGATTAAATTTAAAACACTTGCAACCTCTGTCAATATATTTTTTGGATTGGTCACTTAAAATTTTTTAATCCATAAAGATGTGTATTGGTACCAAATAAAAAAATGTGTATATATTTAAAACTGCTGGATAGTTCCAAAGGGTGACCACAGTCACCAAACCTCATTCCAACCCGTTTTTAAATAACCAAACTATATATGCCCTTTCTATAAGAAAAGGGGCTAGTTTCTGTTTTCTGTTGATTCTGTCCTTCGCAAAAGAATCAGCAAAGCAGTTTGCTATCTGTGAATCCATGAATGAGTGATTCTCATCTTCCTTGTCATTGCTCTGATCTCCCTCATTATGTTCCTGTAATGCCAAGTTTCCATGTTGTCACTTTCCATCCTTCCCAATACAGCCTCTGTCAATATGATTTATGGAAGATAAGTATCATGAGGAGGGAGGGAGGGAGGGAACATCTTAGGTGACACCATTTGTGGGAGTCCCCATGACTTTGGTCTTTGGCTATTCCAGAATGAAACACTAGATGATTTTCTTTAACCGCCAGATCTTTGCTTTATTTATAGAGCTTCTCTTTGATATTGCCAACATTTTTCTACCATCCAATTAAATATATTACAATCAAATGCTAAAGTCTTCTGTGCATGATAATTCTGGACCTAGCTATCTACCTAGAACCCCTTTTACCACTTAACATACGTTACTCATTTTGAAAAAAAACAGTTGCTATTTCAACAGTGGCTGGGAAGGTATATAGATCCTAGCTATCAGGTTGATGGATTGCTTAGAAATTAAAATTAGATCACAACTTTGGTGTAAGCTTCTGAGAAAAAAAGTTTTTACAGCTGGGATCATCTGAAGACGTCAGCTGACTCTTCATTTGTGTAACATTATATGGTCGCAATTCAAAGCCAGTTTAGTAAGATCAATAACTTTAGGTTTAAGTGGTACATTGTATGATCCTGTGGCTACAAAGGAAGCTCTTGGTTAAGATGGATATGGCTGTGTTCTGTTCTGAAAATTCTGATGTAAAAATTGATTAAGCATTTTTGAAAGCAGAAACTACTCAAACCTTTCCAATGCTTTATGAAACCAGCTAAAACTCCCCCTGCTTTTGAAAAATAATCTTGGACATCTCTTATCACATATATTTTGCTTGGCATAGACCTTCCATTAGATATCCATGACATGGTTTAACAGAACACTATCACATTACCTTCGGAATTTTTTGTAAATCCCAAATTATCTTGTTATTGCAAATTCAGATTTTAGTGACCAAAATAACACTATATGGAAAAATCTAAGTCCATGCAAACTAAAAAGGGAGTGGAGATTGATTATGACAAAAAAAAAGAAACTTCATAGGACTAGTCAGATATAGAGAAAAGACTCGTTTTCCTAAGAAGAAAAATCGATCTTCAGAGTTTTGATTTTATTTATTTTTGAGGAGGCCATAGTTAGATACTTGGATCTTGGATGTGATAAGCGGTGCTTTTAGAATCTTACACAAGGGTGTGTTTGATATTTTATTTGTATGGAAGTTGCTATTATTATTTAGTCTGTGTTTAGTTTGAAGTAAAAGGTAGGGAAACGGGAAACCTATACAAAGTTTTCTTTCAAACCAAACACAGCCTTAGTTGAAAGTTCTTGTTATTGTACATATTTGTTTGCATCTTTAACAGAGATTTTAAGATAATATGGGGTGTTTTTTTTTTTTTTTTTTTAAGCAAAGGGAGGTTTAGTATCTTGAACAATTATGGGCATGTTTGGTAAGGTGGGCATTTTTTCAAGAAATATTTATGCCTTAAATTGTTAAAATAATATTTATTTATATAACATTATTTATTTATTTATACAAGCTGGTTAGGCGACATTAGGCGCCCTAAGCACCACAAAGCTTAACATTAGGCACCACTTGCAATGTTAACTTTCACATAAACCGAGGTATTTAGGAGGTGTTCTTTTTTTTTTGGATTTTGAGAGGGGGGAATGGTTCCCATTGACCAAGAATCCTACGTTCATTTTTCAGATTAATGTGGAGGGAAAGTTTATTTTCCTGGGTAAGTGATACCCATCTCCTAGGTGGGTAAATAACTTTCTCACCTAGGAGGAAAGTTGCTAACACTTGAACGGGACAAAAATGCCCCTTTTAATAATGGATTTTTATGACAAATGATCATTACCTCATTTACCTGAGAAATAAAAGAATATGGGTAAATGCTTTCCAGGAAAAAACTTACCCAGGTAATTGCATTTACCTGGGTAAGTAACTTACCGAAAAACAAACGGGGCCTTAAAGTAGGCATATAAGTTGGTACGCCCAAGGTATCAAACACATGCTATAAGTTGGTGAAAGGGTTTGAAGAGGCATGAATTATTACCACTAAACCATATCATGACAAACTTAAAAAAAAAATCATGAAATTTAAGTTTTACTTCAAGCCACTCTCAAATTTTAAGTATCCTGATACCGATAACACATTTCACATGATCTGTTAAAATATATATTTCTCGTGTGTTTATTACCTTTTATGCCTTGTGATAAATATCCATGTGTTTTCAAAGCACATTATGCCTTGCTTTGAATCTTGTTTGGATCCACAATTGAAGGCCCTACTGAGATATAAACTCAATACCAACGTAATCGGAAGATCATGATTCATGATTAGTTTTATCTATACTTTAAACTAAAAACTACTTTTCCAAATCAATTTGAGTTTGTTAACTAGGAGTCTAGGATAGGACTTACCACAACAAAGAGTCTAGGATAGGACTTACCACTACCAATGCCCTGGGGGCATTTAATAGATACATTCGAAGTAGACCTGTTCATGGTTCGGGTAGCCCAATGTCCTGGCCCATTCTTTATCGAGCTTTGGATATGATTTTTAGGCCTGTGCACTCAGGCTCAGGCCCAAAACACTAGGCTCAATTTTTTTTGTGATACATTTTATATAATAAGAAAATGTATTAATGATATATTTTATATATTTTTGTTCATCCTCTTTTCTCTAGCAATAGTGGGATCATTCAGTATTTTTTGGGTTCTGAGGTCATTTAATATAAAAAAAAAATCAGTTCTACTGTTAAGTACAAAAAGTTTGCTCAACTTTCAGGTTGGGCTTCAGGCTCAGGTCTAAACGTATTCTGTTACTAAATAGGCAAAGCCCGGCCTAAACCTGGCCTGGGGCAGCCTGTGAACTGGTCTAGATGTCATCTACAATAATTTTCCTTCTTTTTTTTTTCTTTTCTGATTTTAGTTTTTGGCACAAAATGTAGCGAAATAAACAAAATATATTTTTTTTGATAAGTAATAAAAGTATTTGTAGTAGTTATCAAATATTGGGGAAGGAGAGCTTTTTTCCGCTTTACAAGGATCGGTAAACCGTGTAAAAATTTAGCTGCTTAAATTTGGGTTAAACAAAATGTAACATCTTATATGTTATATCTCAAAAAAATATAAAAGTAAAGAAAAGAAAAAGTTCTATAAGTAAGTTGATATTTAAAAGAATTTTTGAAATTATATGTGCGTATATGTTTTAATTTTCAGTTCATTTCAGAAGATAATAAAGCATTGGGGGTAGTGACTTGAATGTGGATATTGACCTTTCAAAATCAAAACCATGCTGTTTAGCACTACGGTGTACTTGAGTGCACTCCAGTACTGCTCATTCTAGCTATCTGGGTATTGGTGTTGGTCAGTGAATTCAAGGCCCCATTCCTTTATACATACCCATGTTTTTTTTTATTCTCAGGTAAGTAATGTAATGATTTTGTTTTACACATAAAGGCCTTGTTTGCTTTTCGGATAGTTACTTATCCGGGTAAATGCACTTGCCCGGGTAAGTGTTTCCCAGGAAAAATTTACCCAGGTAACTGCATTTACCCATATTCTTTGATTTTTCATGTAAATAAGGTAATGATTATTTTAGTCATAAAAATCTATTATTAAAAGGGATATTTTTGTCCTATTTAAGTGTTGACAATTTCTCCCTGGGTGGAAAAGTTATTTATCCACCTAGGAGATGGATACATAAATCTGAAAAAAGAACATGGGGAATTATATAACTTTTTCTTTTACGTGGGAAAGTTAATAAGTTTTACTTAGGTAAGTGAAATTCTCTTTACCATGGGGCTCATTACTTATTGTTAAAAAAAACACTGTAAAATTGGTAAATGGTAAAAAGATACCTATCTACCAACTTTCCCCCTTATTTACAGATAAACGAATGGGGGCCAAATGAAAATTGAAAATGGAGGCTTACAAGAGCTTCGGGTGGTCCAAGGACTGATCGCATTCAATTGTAAACCGTGTGCATGCTAACTTGAGAGAAAAAGATCAGGAAATTGATGGGTTTAAGGACTTGGAACCTTCAACCTTCTATTATTTCCAGTTAGTTTGGAGGAGCTGATTATTCCAAGGTGTTCGGCGCTGCAAGTTTTGATGTTGAGGATTTAGAAACTAAGCTTAAGTCAGTGCAAGGCCTTTTCGAAACAACTTTTATCGCCTTTTGGGAATATCTTCTATGAAATAAAGTACATAGGTACGGAGATATTTTAGGTGTAAGGCTGTAAAAGCTATTCGAATGATGTTCAAACGGGCCTGACTGAAGCCGTGCTTTAGAGGGATTTTAGATGTTGCTTACATGCTTAAATTGACCCAGTAGTTGCTAGAGTACTTTGTACCCAAGTCAGGTCAAGGTTCCTTTAGTGGTGAAGTCCTTTTAAGGTGAAAGGGAATGCCAAGGGTTTCAACCCGGACCCACACGTAGTGGTAGAGGTAGTTTGGATCGGTAGTTCAGAATGAGCCTGGATCAAGTCCCAACAGAGCATCCGAACATGCCATTACAGCTGTAGTGGCTTGTTGGGATCGGATATGAACTCGTTCAGATATTCTAGTCGAACATTAACTCGACTAGAATCATTGTAGTGGCGATGGTTAAAGGGAAAATAATCCTTAGCTGTTGGAGGCCAACATCATGGGTTTGTAAAACGGGTCGTGTTGGTTGAATCGGGCTAGATTAGTTTTTCTTTTTTTTATATATTTTTTATTTTTTTGTTAAGTAAAATTAAAATATTTATCTTTCTTTTGGGAATTATTTAAAAAAATAAAAAATCTAATAAAGAAAAAAAACTTACCAAATAAAAAGTCAAAGAAATAAAGGCTCAAAGTGAATAACAAATTGGAAGAAAAATAGGAATTTTATTTCATTTAAATTTGAATGATGCAAAGCATACAATGGTTGGATGAATAAATATGAAAATTAAAAAATGGAATAAATTAATAAAATATAAAAAATATAATATAGTTATAAACTGAAAATAAAAAATTATGTTATTAAAAAATCAAGTAAATTAAATAAAATTAAAACAAAATTTACAATAATTTGAAAAAATGTTATACAACTGTTGAGTATACAAAAAGTATTGACTTCATCATTTTCTCCTATTGTTCTTGACTTTGATTATCTACTTCAAGTGAAACATCATGTGTAGTGTCATGCCCTCCTTTGGGGACCCCCTGAAGTATATAGATACCCCCTACATAGCTGTTGGAGGGTATTTCTATAAAATCCACCCAAAAGCTAGTTCATCGGGTGGGCCAAGCGTGGCCCATTACGGGCCCACGGGCTGTGTTGTGCTGGACCGTGGACCTAGAACCCCAGGCCCAGCACAGCCCGGACTATCGTGTCAGGCCTGGCACGACCCGTGTGTTGTTGTGCCGGGCCGCGGGCAGCACAACCCAATTTACAACTCTAGGGTTATTGGGGAGCTTCTTCCACATGACATGTTAACCCATTCAATCCTCTGTTTGTCTTTTTGATCAAAAGAATATTGTGGGCAATTACCCATACCCATTGTATTGTTTCATGCTCAGGAATGTTCCTAACAACCTTGTTGTTGATCCCTATCAATCATTTTTTTTCCCGATGGAAGGGATGTGATATGTAGGGATGTGACAAAAGCCTTAGTTTGCTAATTTTGAATCCTATATTAAAAATTAAAATGTACTATTAAAAATACAAATGAGCCAATAAGAATATAGAAATTTTGTTTTACGGTCAGAATCGGAATCGGAATCGTAATGGTCTATTCCTATAGTTTGTTTGATTCAGATAAGAATTGCAATCAGCTATAATGAGATTTCATTCCCAAGGGAGGGGAGGGAAAGACCATTCCCTCAAATTGGAGAATGTCATTCCACCAGAAATGGGAATGAGATTTCGAATTCACCCAACCAATCAACTAGAATCATGGCTCATTCTGATTCCAATTTCAATCCTTGAAAAAGAAATAGAGGTGAATATTTTAGTCAAGAATATGATTCAATGAAATGTAATGGGAGTTAATACTTTAAATACAATACTTAATGGGATAGAGTTAAATGAGGTGAAGAGTATTAATTTAAAATACATTTTCTACCCTCACAATTAGAGAGTGACCAAATTTAAAAATAGGAGTATTTTAATAAAACAGAATAGGGGTTTGGAATCAGAATCAGAATGCACCATTATGATTTCAATTATTTGAGGGAATGACATTCCCTCCCCCTCCCCCTCCCTTGGGAATGAAAGCCCATTCCAGTTGATTCCAATTCTTATTCCGGTTCCTGTCTGAACCAAACAGACAATGGGAATAGATGATTCTGATTCCGATTCTTGATTCTAAATCTGATTCCATTTGTGAACCATATAGACCCTTAGATCTATATTGAATACGATTAATATAACTAGCCCTAAAAACATAATTATTTTTCCATCTTGGTGGCAGGTAAATAGTTGAACTAAATCTAAATCTAAGCCATCAATATGTGGGCATTTGCTAGTCTCCACCATTGATAATGAATCTAAATCTAAGTTTCATTCCTTTTGCTGTCATCTCAATCAGCAATAGCAAGATTTTTTCCGATTACATCCTATAGGTTCCCATTTCATTTGGTTCCGGGATGTGTTACAAACTTACAATAGACATGCATTCTTTTAAGTTGCGACATCTTTGGGAATTGGTCGAATTTGATTTTGGAATACAAAATATTCCAAATTTTGGAACACACCAAACTACAAAATATTTCAAAACAGACACTCAATAAACATTAATTTGATATATTTTAACAAAATATTTTTATTTTAAGTCCCAATGATTTATAATATACTACAAAACATTGCTATAGTTGTAGTAACTAATAACTTTTTGTGGCCATAGTACAAAACATCTAAGCAAATCGGATTGTCATTGCTTGAGTGATAGAGAGAGCTGTGTAAAATGTTGGATGGAAAAGTGACATACGACATCAAACTCCAATGAGAAGGGACTCCTCCCACCTCAATCGGTTATTGACTTCTTAGGATTTGCATTTAGATCCATGTCTTATCCGAATTTCAATAAGACCGAGTCCCCTTATACATCAAGAACTCAAGAATCTCGTAATGGCCTTTAATTGAATTGCCATCTCTATGTATGGCTTAATCCATAACCTCCAGGATCAATAAAAAAGTTTACTTAAATTTTATATATTTATTAAAGACAAATAGATTTGGTCTCATAGAAATTATTTTTAACTTATTTTAGTTTTGATACACAATATCAAATTCATTTTATTAATATATAGGGTAAAAGAATTAAACCTCCTCTAATGTGTGTATATATATGTACGTATGTATGTATAATGTATAACATATTAAATAAATAAATTTTAAATATTTAATATTTAATATATATATATATATATATATATATTAAACTTCAACATTTGTTTTTTATTTATTATCCTGAAAACTGATCAATTTGATTCTAGGTCCAAAAATTACAAACCCTATCAGGTTCAAGTCGGTTCCAGTTCCAGCTAGTTTCAACCCAGACCCGACTCATTAACAGTCCTACGCTTGTGATTTGTCATAGGACTTTATCCTACCATGTGAAATAATGTCATTAGACAAATAATATCCCTCTCTTAATTATCTTCAATATCTCATTTGACTTGACGTTATATTTGTCTTATATTTCTCAAAAATCCACTAAGAAACTAAAAAAAAAATCAAATATATAAAAACCTGAAAAATAAAACTTCCCATTGCCATGAAGCACATCTATGTTGAGTAACATCGCTATTAGGTTTGAGGCGGTCAGTGGCGGAAAAATGAAAGGGACCAGCCTTTAGGGACAATGAAACCTGAGCTCAAAGCTTGGCCTTATATATATGAGATCTTTTATATTCGAAATCCTATCTTAAAGCTTGACCTTAGAAATGCTTCTGTCAAATATAACAGCATTTTATACGGTTTAGGGATGTTTATTGTTTAAGTCCTATTAGAAATAATAGGGGAGGTATAAGTATTTATAGAAAAACTTAGGGGAGGTCTAAGTCTTTTACTCTAATATATAATGTTTTGACCATTCCAGTTTAATTTAATATGGATACAATCTCAAATCCCAATATTAAAGGATCAAATTTGAATGTTGATATATAATTTGGTTACTTTGCAACCTACTTCTAGTTCTAGCATGGCTTCTAGTCCAACTATTATACGTGTTTTATGATTGGTTAAAGTTTTTGGTGTACTATGACGTTTCTTGTATCATGCAAATTGACATTGTAATATCATATTATCATGGTTGGAGGTTGAAGGGAAGAAGGGTTAAGGGTAAACAAAAAACAACACTGGTTAAAATAACAAGAAATGATTTAGGGAAAATTTTTTAAACTATTCTTATGGTTTAGCTAATTGATTAATTCTGTCCTTATTGTTTACCAATTGTATTAAAACATTTCATATTATTTCTGACAATTGACATTGTTGCAAAATAATAATGGAAAAAAAATAAAATGTCAAAAATTTGCCCTCAATTATTTTTCAAAATTTCAAAGGATAAATTTCTTAAACTACCTTTATGCTTTAACTAATTGACTAAGTATACCCTTATTGTTTGACTATTGTCTAATGGTAGTCCTATTTCTGACAATTGACTAACTCTATCCTTATCGTTAACATCTATTAGTATTCCGTCAAAACTTGTTTACATGTGACAAATGATTTTTTTAAATCCAATTTTACCCTTATTGTCTTCTTCCTTTCAGCAGCGGCAAAACCGAGCTGGTCCTTAACCAGCAGCGACGATTGCCCCCTCCACCTCCGGCCCCTTTGTTCTCTCTCCCCTTTGGTGCTGCCTGTCTCACCACACTGAAATGACCCTAGCCCATTGCAATAACCATCGCTTGTCTCACCGCCATCTGCACATACTTCACTGGCATGTTGGTATACGACATGGTGCGGAAGAATAGCAATGGTGGCATCTTCTGATCGGATACGAAGACAGTGGTGGAAGTTCAGGGGGTGAGCGCATCCATGGAAAGCCACGTCTCAATGTTGATCACAATGCCTCTTGACCCCATCAAGACGAGACACGAGACTACAGGTTTTGGAAGCAGGAGAGAACAACGATCTGCAACAACGAAACCCACGGGGATTTCTAGTAAGGGAGGTTCCAAGCGGAGGAAGAGAGGAAACCAGTGTACCCAGCTCAATTGAGGCTAATCTCAATGACTCGGCTAATGCTGGCGACTATGCGATCACATCTGAACCCACAAGTAAAACTTAAACCGCTCACAATTTCTCTATGGTGGGAGTTGTTTCTTCGTTGATTTTGGTATGGGGAAAATCCGATGCCTTCACCGTGCACCGTAAGCCTACTCTTGGCAACTCACATCTCCTCTACTCCCTCGGCAAGCCCAGATCCTAGAAGGAACCCAAATTTCAGTATCTCTCAGATCTGCAAGGAACCTAGATCTGAGATATGATAAATACTCAGATTTGAGATCCGGTCATCATTTGCCGTAATACTTGAGATAGTTTGTTTATCTACTTAACAAACAAATTAATAATTAACTAAATGAATATAAAATACTTAATAAATAGTAAAATTAATAAAAATTATAAATTATCGAATATTTTAATGAATTGAACATTTAGTAATTAATTCATATATATATATTTCAAATAAATAATTACATAATCATTAAATAAGTAATTAATTAATCATCAATAATAATTATTTATTTAAAAATAAATAATAAAGTAATTAAATAATACATGGATAACTAAAGGTATTAAGAGATAAGAGATAAAATGCATTAAGAGTAGAGGTGTAAAGTAGGCCGCGTTGGGCTGGCCGTAAGCGGCCTGCGCAAAGTGCAGGCCTCGGACCGTCACGAGCCGTGCTGCCCTCCTCGGTGAAAATTTTGGGGTTTGGCCCATGTGGGCCCATGCCGTGCCATGGGCCAAGCTGGCTCATGGGTCAAGCTTTGGCCCAAGCCGGGCCATGGATCGGGCCAAAGCTATTTTTGCCTATTTATTTAAAAAAAGTTGAAAAAAACCTAAAATTTTAATTTTATATATATCGAGGTTTTCAAAACTGACCTGGAAATGAAACCATTCTAGCTATTGGTTTCCGGGTCGAACGGTTTGGACAGTTTACATATTAGGGAAACTATTTTATATGAGTTTTGAGATTTGAGAAAGGAGATGAGATGTTGTCGGTTGAGAAATAAAAAAAGAAAGAAAAGAAAGAAAAGAAAGAAAGAAAGGAGAAAGGAAAAAAGAAAATAAGAGGAAGGAAAGAAAGGAGGAGGGAAGGAGGGAAGAAGAAGGAAGAGGAGGGTGGTTCGATGCTCACCGGCAATGATAATGGCGACGGCGACGGCGAGGTGGTAGCAACTTACACAGATCTGAGTTCTCAGATCATCATCTTCGTCTTCTTCTTCTTCCTCAGGTCTGAGACCCGAACTCAGATCTGAGACAACTGAGACACGAACTCAGATCTGAGTTCGTATGTTTTCTGATGAAGAAGAGAGTTCATGGGTCAGAACCGCTATCTGGGTCAAACGAGTCGACGGTTTGACCGTCCAGGTCAACGACGATTCAAAAACATTGATATGTATAATAATTAAATAAATTAGTATAATAAAATTGAAAAAAATGTTTATTTTATTAATATATTATATACTATGTATTATTATATAAATATATAATATTATATATATAATTAGGTCGTGCTGGCATGCGGACCGCGGGTGGCATGGCCCGTGGACTTCAAACCCCAGGCCCAGCACGGCACAGACCATCGTGCCAGGCCTAGCATTGCCCGTGGGCTATCGTGCCAGGCCGTGCTATGCCAGTCCAAAATCGTGCTAGGCCGCGAGTAGGCTGACCCAATTTACACCTCTAATTAAGAGCAAATGAACATGAATATCACTTACTTGATTTACTTAGAGATTCATAAGAAACTGAAATAAAAGAAAAAAAAACATGGGATTATTGATCAATAAGAACCACAATTTCATTAACCGACAAAAGAACATGGCTTAAACCTAATCACTTCCCTCTAGAACATAAGCATCAATAATTAACACCAGTTTGCACATTGCACAAGTCCCCTATCAAAATTTGATAATAAGATCGTATATAGGAATGGCAATGGAGTCGGTTGGGGGCAGGGCACCCCTCCCTGTCCCTTGTAGAAAAAATCCTACCCCATCCCCAATGGTGAGGTGGGTTCGAGGCAAGGCACCTCTCTCTCAAATGGAGAATACCCATTTTTTTTCCACCCAACGTAACTACCATTAAATTTATAGATATTTTAGAAATAAAATTATGAGAATTTAGAATATTTTAGGAATTTAGGATATCTTAAAAAATGAAAAAACTCAAAAAATATTTTAAAAATTAATATTAAACCTAAAAATATTTTAATAATTTTCTATAAATTTAGGGCAAATTTGGGAATTACATACAAACCCTTTTTCTCATCCTTCTAGTTCCCTTTAAATGGGGAAAACCCACTTAATCACTAGGTATGGCAATTTTTTTCATCCCCGAATACCAGACTTCCTTGACTAGATGGGGTAGGGATGGGGAATGAGATCCTCACCCTGTCGAGACCCCGATTACCCTGATTATATATATTAAATATTATTCATATTAAGTATATATTATTATATTATTTATATATATATATATATATCAAAATATATTTAAAAATTATTTATATTTTAAATTTTTATTTATTTTAGATAAATTTATTTTCAAAATTACTATTAATTAAAAAAAATTCGAAATATAAGACAACTTTTATCCCGCACAATGACCTGAATTCGGACAAGAATTTATTCCAAAATCAGGGTCGAGGATGGGAATATGATACCCGCCCTGAACCCGCTGCCAATATATATATATTGCCATGCCTAAATCTTTGTATAAAACTTCCTCTCAATTTCTAGGGTTCTTTCTCCAGCAATCAAATTCGGAGTTTCATCGACGTTTCGAATCAGTTCGAGTATTTCCACTTTCCAGTGCTTCTCCCGGATAAGCTTCGTCAGTCCGTTCTCTGTTCCTTTTCTCATTCAATGTTCGGTTTTTTCTGCAAAAGACTTCTGCAAGTAAAACCCACTGAATCAACGAGCAGAAGCCATGTTTATTTTCTTTGTACAATATCATCTCCGAAATCGGTCTCAAACATCTCAAGCTCCTCCGGGGACCAACCTTCTTCTTTCACAGTCTCCTACCTCATGGAATCATGCGGCATGTCGTTAGAATCCGCTATTTCCACAGCAAACAAACTCCGCATTCAGAACAAAGAGAAAGMAGATTCGGTGATTGAGCTCTTAGGAACGCATGGCTTCACCCAAGCGGACATTGCGCACATTATCGCCAGGAACCCTAGACTGCTTCTATCAAATGCAGGCAGCACTCTTAAGCCCAAATTGGAGTTCCTTGAAACCTTTGGCATTTCGAGGTCTGATCTTCCCAGGATCGTCTCTTTGGATACGTGTTTTCTACAAGGTAGCTTAGAAAACCAAATCATCCCGGCTCTTTCTTTCCTTAAAGGCTTGATTCGCAACCACGAGGACTTAATCTATTCCTTAAAGCAATCAACCCGCCTTGTTAAATGCAACCTACAGAATGTGACACAGCCTAACATAAATGCCCTGCGAGCTCACGGTGTGCCCGAGTCCAATATTGCGAGATTGATCGTAATGCGGCCTGATTCAGTCTCCCTGAAGGCTGAAGACTTTAAAGAAGCTGTGGAGAGGGTTAAAGAAATGGGCTTTGATCCCACAAGCCGCTCATTCGTCCTCGCTGTTCGCTCGGTGACGGGGATGAGTAAATTGAATTGGGAAAGGAAGGTCAACACTTTGAAGAGGTCAGGTTGGTCCGAGGATGACGTTCTCATGGCTTTCAGAGTACAGCCAATTTTTATGCTCAGTTCAGAGAAGAAAATGGGTATCTTGATGGAGTTCTTTGTGAGCAAGCTAGGTTTGAAACCTTCCGATATTGCAAAATGTCCGAACTTGTTCTTGAGTAGTTTGGAGAAGAGAATCATTCCAAGGTGTTCAGTCCTGCAGGTTCTAATGTCCAAAGGACTTATTGAGAAAGATGTGAACGTGGTGTGGGTTTTAAATAGAACGAAACAGATATTTGAGAACAGATTTGTGATCCCATATCAAGATGTAGCTGTGGAGGTAAAGAAAGCATATCAAGGTGTGATACCATTTCTAGGATTAGATACCGGGTCTGGAGATATTAATGTCGACAAGTAATTGCAGGAATCCTACATGTCAACAATCTCGGAGGACACAGGCAAGTTTTGGGTGGAGGTGTCTTGGTGGAGGTTAATTGCCACAGTTGGCTGGCAGAAATTTTGGTGTGTGTTTGGATTGGCGGGAAGATGGTGGTGGTGGTGGAGAGCTGGCGCCTGAGGGCTTGAAGACGGTTCAGTTACCATTACTGGCTCTATGCATGCTTTAATTACAATGGTGGTGGTGTCATGGGGTGTATGCTGTTGGGGCTATGGAATACAATCTTCGCCTAGTGGATTTTGCAAGAGATGGGTGTAGGCAAGTTTGGTGAAGGTTGCACATGTTTCATCCAAAAAGAAAGAAAAGAAAAGGAGTTGCCATTTCTGACTCGGAACCATAAACATTCTGGATGTAAAGGCTTGTTTTGCAGCATGTATAACTGCCTTTTCAATGCATCGGTTCACAGTTTGTATGGATTTAGGGATGTTAAAGTATGGCCCCTGCAAAAAAAAAAAGGTTTGAGTTACGAACAGATTGAGTTTTATATGTTTCATACCCAGTTTATCTCATTTTTTCAATTGATGTGATGTTCCTCCGGCCCTAGGAATTCAACAAGCTTATATATTCGGCTCCCCCACTTTTTTTACTAATTCACAGGTTTGATGCTTGGACATTTTTACAACGCCATAGCATCGACTAATAACGTAACTGTTTTTCCATCTTATTGGCAATTAAACAATTGAACTGAATGTAAATCCAAGTCGTTAATATGTGGACATTTGCTAGTCTCATGCATTGATACGAATCAAAATCTAAGTTCCATTCCTTTTGCTGTCATTTCGATTTGTTATCGGCAATAACAAGATTTTTTCCAATTACATGCAATAAGTGGTGTTCGTTACTATGGCCACTTCTCATTTCATTTGGTTTGGGAATGTGCCACGACAAACATGCATTCTTTTAAGCCATTGTATGCTTTGAAATTGGTTGAATTTGGTTATAGAATACAAAATGTTGGATTTTGATTTCATAAGAGATTAAATCCAATGGGTTTGATTGGTCAATTACATGAGAAATTGCACCTACACATTTGATTTAAAAATCAGTTTTTCTTTTACAAAAAACCCAATTTTGAATTTGTTCTACATTGGAAAATTATAAGTTTTGTTTTCAGTATTTTAATAGGAGTTGATTTACGCTCCTTAGAATTAAAAGAGGAGAGTATGGGGATTCGATATTGCGCAACGCGCGCGCACACACGTGCGCGTGTGTGCGGCGCAATGATGTGCACTTTGCTCGCACCCGCGTGGCTCGTAATGGGCTGCTCTGGTTTTGGTGCGTTGATGACTGTTGATCACCGTTGATGAGATCAACGGTCACGATTCGATCGGGTGTGATCAAGAGGCACAATTCAAAGTTAACAGTCACCAACTGTTAACCAATTTTTAAATAGTCACAATGTTTGAAATTGTGACTGTTCGAGGTGTCTTCTCTAAACCAACACCTACTTTTTCTTCATACCTCTTCACAAATTATTTAAGGAGCATGAATCAGACTCCAAAACACACAATTTCGAAATTCACTCACTCTCTCTCTCTCAGTCCGGTTTGCTACAGTCTCACAGAAGATTTCTTTGGAGACTCTTCAACTTTGCTGGTTGCAGATTCTCGCCCAAGGTTCTGTTGTATCATGGGAACGAATTTGCCTGTAACCCAACAGCAAACTCAGTAAAACTGAGTGGGGGCAAATAACGTTCTAAAGACAATGTCTTTAGACACGCCTCAGAGCTTCTCCTCCAAAGTTACAGTAACCCCATCTTCTCCAACACAAAATATTGCAAATTTTGAAACACACCAAAATATTGTGTTGATACTGGTATATTTTTAAAAAAATATTTTTATTTTAAACCCCAGTGCTTTATAATACACTACAGAACATTACCATAGGTGTAGTAAGTTCTGAAACCCACTATTTTTAACACACGGTGGGGTCCAGTAGCTTGGAATACACCACACTTTTTGTGGCCAACTATTTTACATTTTTATTAAAGTCATTTTTAATTTGTTTTATTAATAATTTATAATATTTTGATCATTCCAGTTCAAGATGGATACTATCACAGAATCCCAATATTAAAGGATCAAATTTGAATGTTGGTATATAATTTGGTCCCTTTGCAACCTACTTCTAGTTCCAGACTTCCAGCAAGGCTTCTAGTCCATCTATTGTACATGGTTTTATGATTGGTTAAAGTTTTTGATGTACCATGAAGTGTCTTGTATTATAGAGATTGTCATTGTAATATCATATTATCATTGTAATACTATAAAGGTGACCGATTCTGTTTTTCTTCAAAACCGGATTTTTTTCAAAAAATGTTGATTTGGTCAGTAAGCTGCTGATTCGGGCGATTGAACCGTTCAAACCATTCAACGGTTTTAACTGTTTTTAATTTTTTAATTTTTTGTTAGAACGGGCTGGTTGTTCGGTTTGAACAGTCAGACTGTTCGACCTGGGAACTGGACCCCTGACTGATTTGTTGTCCGAATCGATTTTAAAAACCTTACTTTAAACCATCTTATTACTCGGCCAAATCTACTCAGATCTGCTATTGATCAAACCTCCTCCATAACTACCCACCTAATCTCAGATAAAGAACCTGAGATGAGATTGTATACAGGGGAGGTGGAGGGGGAAAACGAAGAGGGGAAGGGAGTGGAGGAAGAATTGGAGGGGTGGCGGTGATTTTGATTGATGAAGACCATACTAGACTTGGGGCGGCGAAGACCACACTGAGGAAATAATTGGAGTTTTCAAAGGTAAAACAGACATTTCAACCTTTTTGTTAATATTTTACGTCAGGTGGTAATTTTTCAAAAACAGTAGAGGGGTAACATTAAACAATATTCAAACAGTTGTGATATACTTAATCAATTATCTAAATCATTAAAGTAGATTAAGAAATTTAAACAAAACCAAATCAGAAGATTGTTAACAGACAAGAATTCTAAGATTTGGTCAAGCCTAAGTCCTAACCACTCTCTAATAGAAACATATACGAGTGATCGACAAGGCTAGTGAAAGAGCACATGAGAGCACGAAATTTAAAGATTTGGAATGAAAATCAGCAGCCCATTTCTTCAAAGTTCAAAGCAGGTGCATTTATCGATCTTGCAACCAAAGAACAATCTCTTGTTTGAAGGAGGGACAAAGGAAAGGGGATAAACACCATCTCATCAACTTTCAATTCCAATACCACAACATTCAATGGAGAATAGGAAATATGGATTTATGCCTATGTATAATGTATAATGAAATTTTCGATTTTCTATGACTTCTTCGTATTGCATAGAAAGATTTGAGACTTCGGATCAGAATATTATATCTAACACCCATTGCTCTAGTTATGCCGCCAATTGCAGAGGTTGCTAGCTAGCGATCTTAGAGTCATAGATTGTTGATTCTCTCTTATTTAAATTGAAATTTGCAGACTTAAGCGGTATTGGGCATCGTGTTTATTTTTTCGGTCTCCTTATACACGTTCAACTAGCTGTAGACGGGACCGGTTCATGTTATATCATGGACCGATTCCGTCACCCCAATTTCTTATTCATGGCAAAAACTCGTGGTTAGGGCCCATTCACACTTTATTTTTGATCCCTTGCTTCACACTTTTCCTTAAAAGCTGAAATCCTATTGTCTTTTTTATATTTTAATATTTTTGTCAATAAAATATTAATTATTTTACTTAATTTTTTATAAAAAAAAATAATATTTATTGGATAATATTAATTCATTGATGCATTTTTTAATATATTTGTCAAATAAAATGTAAAAATTAGATATTTATGATTAACTGTGTAGATCAAAGTTTTCGAACCGCCGTTAACTCGAATGGTCGAACCGTTCTGACTGGGAACCGTCTAGGCAAGCGGTTCCATTTTACCCCAAACCTAGTTTTTGGTAAAAAATCGTTGAAAAAGTCAACAATCCATTGGCCCGGGCAGTTGAACCGTTGACCTGTTCAATGGTTTTTGACTATTTTTTAATTTGTTTGTTAGAACGGGTTATCCGTTGACCCGAAAACCGGTGGCCAGAACGGTTCTATTTCCGGGTCATTTTTTAAAACGTTGGTGTAGATCATTCATAAATGTATATGAGATACATGGAATTACAAAACGCTACTGTGGGTGTGGACTGGTCCAATCCACACAATTTGTCCGTAGTTCAAAATAGTTGTGGATTGTGGTGTGATGTAGATTGGTCCCTGTCACAGGGTGTGGTGTGGACCAGTCCACACCCACCAATTTCTCATCCACACTACAGAACACCCCCTTAGTTGGTTCAAATCTTAAAACCCAAATTGCTTACTCACTTTTCCTACCTACTTTTCTACCCGCAGTGAATTGAAGATACACATCTCTCAATTCATAATAGAGATGTGTGGCTGCAATTCATGGCAGGTAGAGAGTGGATAGAAAAAGTGAATAAGAAATCCCCTTTCCAAATCTTGACCCATGAATGGTTTGAATGATTTTGTTGCATTTCAACAACAATTATCGTTTACCATTGTTAGGTCCCAAACGGGAGATTAGTTGGAGACAAAAATATACACACATGGCTGAACTACTTATTACGACTGAACACACGAGTGTTCAGTATAGCTGGGTAGCACTGGTGTATTCAACCATGATAAATAATAGTTCAGTCGGGTGTGTATGATTTTGTCTCCGGCTCATCCCGACTTGTTCCAAACAGCCAAAGTTTACCCACCATTGGTTGTAGCGAGGAGAGGTGGGGGAGGATAAAAAAAGAAGAATTGTTATTGGGTTTAATTTGAAAATTTGAAAAGTAAAAGGGTAAAATTAAGGGATATTAGCATATAAGGGCAACTTTTGGGCCTTAATATCAATAAAAGTAATATATTTAAAAAAATTTCAAAATTAGGTTAACTTTTTAAAAATAATATCAACTAAGGGTAAAATCACTATTCATATTCTTCTTCTTGCAATTTGTTCAATAGCGTCGCCGCTGGCCGTCGGTCACCACTACTTGCCGCCGCCTCGACCGTCGGCTGCCATCACTTGTTGCCGCTCTAGCAATGCCTCCAACTATCTCCGCCCACCTCTGCCTCCACCTCCGGCAATGGGTGGAGGCAGAGGCGGTGATGGCGGTGCTGGTGGTCATTCCTCTGCCCAACGCCGCCACTTCCGCTGCCCGTCGCCGCCTCTGTCTCCACCCACCGCCACCCGGAGGTGGCGGCGTTGAGTAGAGGAATAACCACCAACGCCGCCACTGCAGCCTCTGCCTCCACCCACCTTCGGCAACATTTCCGGAGGCGGAGGCGAGTGGTGGCGGCCGACGGGCGGGGGCAGCACTGTTGAACATATTGCAAGAAAAAAAGATGAATAGTGATTTTACCCTTAATTGATATTATTTTTAAAAAGTTAACCTAATTTTGAATTTTTTTAAATATATTATTTTTATTGATATTAGGTTCCAAAAGTTGCCCTTATGTGCTATTATTCCTAAAATTAACTATAAAAGGGAAATTTTAAAATTAAGAAAATTATATAAGTTACATCACTATGTTTGCATGATCACATGTGAACAAATTATAAAGGTGCGATAATGATAAGGAGGATTTTGTCAATTTTTTTAAACTAAAGGGCACTTTAATATTTTTATTAAAACATTTGTGTTTTTCTTTTTTTTTCTTGATAAATAAACTTACTTAAAATTCCAAAAATATCAACAAAGTTGAAATTTAAGTATAGGGTTGTTCATGGGTCGGTTTACTGAGATTTTTCCAACCAACCTGACCTGGTCGGGTTACCTAAAATTGAAACCGAAACCAACCCTGTGTTAAGCAAAAATCGACCTGGTCGGTTTGAGTCAGGTTGGGTCGGTTTGAGTCGGTTTTGGCTCTAAGTTCAACCATGGTAATAAATTGGTAGATTGGAGAAAGAAGACTGAAGTTTGATGTAAAAAAGGACACATAATTCTATTAGAGAAAGAAGACTGAAATTTGTATATTTCAAGAAACCTTCTAATCTAAGTAAAAAAGGACACCTAATTCTAATTGTAATTGGTTGCCTATTTGGTGCAAAAGACCATAAAAACTAGGATCCTTTGATTCTTTTCTTTAAACTTTTCCAAAAAAATTCCTTGTCTAGTTGTCTTACAATACTTGCCATTAATGTCAATCCTAACTAGAAGACTAGAAATTAAGTTAGGTTGTAACTAGAATAGAGACAACTTAGTTAAGTAGGAACTAAGTAGGTTGTAACTACTAACTAGGAACTAACTACTAAGTTGGTTCGGATTGGATATGAAAACCGAAACCGACCCAAACCATCAGTTTATAATTTTTTACAACCCGAAACCGACCGGTGCTGAAGAAAACTCGGCCGACTCGGGTTGGGTTGGTCCAGGTTGGTCGGTTTGGTCGGGTTGGGTCTTCTTATGAACAGCCCTATTTAAGTATTTTACTCAAAAAATACTTCCGTAGTTTTAAGTATTTTACTCAAAAAAATGTAAATTTCTTAAAATACCCCTATAGTTTAGGAAATTTACTAATTCCACCGTTACTGTTTGTATACTATCTTAAAATATTCTTAAGTTTTTGAAAATTGACTAATCCTTCTCTATCATTAATATCTATTAACAAAAATATAAAAAAACTATTTTACCCTCTACATCTCTTTAAATTTTCAAAAATAATTAAGTCTTCAGACAACTATTTGAGAGACCGGCATGTTATCAGAGGAGAAGTGGAATAAAATACAATCAAGGAAGTCTTGATTGTACGAAGTTCCAGCGGAAAGATTAGTTCAGAGTGCATTCTGAGAATGCTGAAAACTCTTCTAGAAGAAACCCCACCTTCAGAGTCCAAAACCCCGTAGAGAGCGGTAAGGTTTGGGTGCAGAATCCAAAACCCGAGTTCAGAGTGGATTCTCTCGTAGATTCTTTCTCTGTAGAATCTTGGAAACATTGCAGATTTGCCATTGTATAAATTTCCAATTTCGTTGTTCTACAATGCAGACTTTAGTAAAAGCCCTCTATATCAACATCATAAGGATCAATGAAGCAATTAGTTTACTGCATCTGATGCTTGTACAGGTAACAGGAAATCAACTGACAAAGGCAACACCTAAATGGTGTTATTCCTTATAACTTTTTCTTTCAGTGACCCAGCAGAGTTCATGTTCAGAATATCTGATGGGATCTCCTAGCTCCCACTCCTCCTACCCCAACTAGAGTGATGTGTTTTTGGTCGAGCAATTGGCACTTGTGGATCTGAACCTAGAACAAAGTCAGCCCCTGAGCGCTCATGGTGACCATTGCTACCTCTGCTGCGTACGTATTCAGCAACTTCTTCAAAGTTATGACGCTGGGAGATTTTTAACAGATCTCCACCAATTTCAAGATCATCTTCTACGAGTTTTAGTTCCAGCTCCTCTGCCGCCTACTCGACGGGAATAAATGGCATCAACAGCATTGTCATGGGTTCTCCTCTGCCCTCATCGTCTTTCTAGTGGTAGCGATCTCATTGATGAGTTTCAGCTCCAAGACCAGTTATCATTCCTCAACGATGCCTCTCCCCACACACAGGATTTTGCTTCTCCTTTCTATGGTGGTGGTAGCAATCTGATTGATGATCTTCAGCTCCTAGACCAGCTGTCATTCCTCAAAATTACAGCTGATAAAACTTTGATGCAATTGCACTCTTTATAAATATTGCTCTCTCAGTGATTGCAGAGGTTGCGGATTATGGTTCTTGTTTCATAGACGAGCATGAGTATTCTTATTGAAGTAGCTCTGTAGCTACTTCTGGATTCAGTAAGTTTGTAGGAGTTAGTCCAATTTGAAAAAATTGAAAGTCCATAGGAAGTAGTCCAATTCGAAAGAAAGGAAAGTCCGTAGGAGTTACTCCAGATTTAGCGAGTACAAGAAGAAAGCCAGCTGCAGGTGGCTTTCCCGGTCAAAATTGCTGACTCTCATTGTTCATATTCTGTCTCTGTTAACCAGTTCTGTTGCATTTTGATCCTTTTGGTCATACGACTTTCTTGAAATTATTGATCATTTGACCCAAGGTATTTCACTTCTTCTTTTTCTTCTTCTCCGAGTATAAGAATACAGGCTTGCTTCAAATTATCCGAGGCAGAGAATCTGAGAAATTTCTCCCTTTCGTAGTTTGAAGCTTGAAACAATCTACAGATTCTATTGAACTGGGGTTTTGGATTTTGCAGAGAAAGAATCTACGAGAGATTCGAGCCAAATCTGCAATGTCAGTTGTATTCTCTGTAGCAGGAGAGAGTTCCCTGGAAGTCAAAACACGATGAAAGATAGAAGGAAGAGGAAGAGCAAGTCGGGTTTGAGTTTGAATGATTGAATTAAACCTGCGAAGAAAAATTATAACAGAGGTGGTGTTCTCATGTGGATTTCTCCCGTTTGTTCTTTCTCTGCATGATAGAGGAGACCGGAACCAAAGGAGGAGAATAAGAAGAACAACCAGAGAGAGAGAGAGAATTTGCCAGAGAAGTGATCGGCGATGGAAGATTGCCGCTCTTCTGCTGGTTTGTCGAAATTGTGGCGAATGGATAGTCAAAAAAGAGTATTTTAAGAATTTTAAAAAATATATTAATCACGTGATATCATATGAAAAAAAAAGAAGTTTTTAAATAATTGTCAGAAAATTTAAAAGGTAATTTAAGATAATATATAAATAGTAAAGATGGAATTAATCAATTTTTTAAATCATAGGGCTATTTTAAGAAATTTGCCAAAAAAATACTAATCCGATCCGTTTACCGATACCATTTGCCTCTTCGTATAAAACCGCCTCTCAATTTCTAGGGTTCTTTGACTTCTTACCCCAGTAATCAAATTCGGAATTTCATCGACGTTTCGAATCAGTTCGAGTATCTTCAGTTCTTCTCCCGGGTAAGCTTTCGTGTTCCATTCCTTTTCTCATTCAATGTTCCGTTTTTTGTGCAAAAGATTTCTCCAAGTAAAACCCTCTGAATCAACGAGCAGAAGCCATGTTTATTTTCTTTGTACAATATCATCTCCGAAATCGGTCTCAAACATCTCAAGCTCCTCCGTGGACCAACCTTCTTTTTTCACAGTCACCTACCTCATGGAATCATGTGGCATGTCGTTAGAATCCGCTACTTCCACAGCAAACAAACTCCGCATTAAGAACAAAGAGAAAGCAGATTCGGTGATTGAGCTCTTAGGAACGCATGGCTTCACCCAAGCGGACATTGCGTACCTTATCTCCAGGAACCCTAAACTGCTTCTATCAAATGCAGACAGGACTCTTAAGCCCAAATTGGAGTTCCTTGAAGCCTTTGGCATTTCGAGATCTGATCTTCCCAGGATCGTCTCTTTGGATACGTGTTTGCTACAAGGTAGCTTAGAAAACCAAATCATCCCCGCTCTTTCTTTCCTTAAAGGCTTGATTCGCAACCATGAGGACTTAATCTATTCCCTAAAGCAATCAACCCGCCTTGTTAAATGCAACCTACAGAATGTGACACAGCCTAACATAAATACCCTGCGAGCTCACGGTGTGCCCGAGTCCAATATTGCGAGATTGATCGTAATGCAGCCTAATTCAGTCTCCCTGAAGGCTGAAGACTTTAAAGAAGCTGTGGAGAGGGTTAAAGAAATGGGCTTTGATCCCACAAGCCGCTCATTCGTCCTCGCTGTTCGCTCGGTGACGGGGATGAGTAAATTGAATTGGGAAAGGAAGGTCAACACTTTGAAGAGGTCAGGTTGGTTTGAGGATGACGTTCTCATGGCTTTCAGAGTACAACCAATTTTTATGCTCAGTTCAGAGAAGAAAATGGGTATCTTGATGGAATTCTTTGTGAGCAAGCTAGGTTTGAAACCTTCCGATATTGCAAAATGCCCGAATTTGTTCTTGGTTAGTTTGGAGAAGAGAATTATTCCAAGGTGTTCAGTCCTGCAGGTTCTAATGTCCAAAGGACTTATTGAGAAAGATGTGAACGTGGTGTGGGTTTTAAATTCAAAGAAGCTGATATTTGAGAACAAATTTTTTATCCCATATCAAGATAAAGCTCCGGAGATAAAGAAAGCATATCAAGGTGAGATACCATTTCTAGGATTAGATATTGGGTCCGGAGATATTAATGTCGACAAGTAATTGCAGGAATCCTACATATGAACAACCAGAGGACCCAGGCAGGTTTTGGGTGAAGGTGTAGAGCCTTTGTTTCTTGATGGGATTTTTAGGTGGAGTTAGTGAAGAAAGACAAGGATAGACTGGATGGAGGTTAATTGCCACAGTTTTCTGGCAGAATTTTTGGTATGTGTTTGGGAGTGGCGGGAAGATGGTGGTGGTGGAGAGCTGGTGGCTGAGGCCGAGGGTTTGAAGACAGTTCAGTTATCATTACTTTGGCTCTATGTATGCTTTAATTACAATGGTGGTGGTTTCATTGGGTGTGTGCTGTTGGGGCCAGGGAATACAGTCAGCTCTTAGTGGATTTAGCAAGAGTTGGGTGTAGGCAAGTTTGTTGAAGGTTATACATGTTTCAGCTAAAAGAAAAAAGAAAGTAAAAGGAATTGCCCTTTCTGAACCATGACCATAAGCATTCTGGATGTGAAGGCTTGTTTTGCAGCATGTATAACTGCCTTTTCAATGCATGGGTGTCGCATCATTGTGGTTTTATTGATTGATTTCACAGTTTGTATGGATTTAGGGATGATAAAGTATGCTCCCATGCAAGAAAAAGTTTCATGGGTTCTATATGTTTCATACCCACTTTATGCCATCTTTCCAATTGATGTGTTCCTCTTCCTCCGGCCCCTAAGAATTCAGCATTGGCAACTCTTTGGGGTCGTTATTGTTTAAGCTTATATAGTGGGCTACCTCACTGTTTACTGTTTCACAGGTAAAAAATCATCTATTATGAAATTAAACATTATTTTTGATGTTTGCATTTTGAGTTTGCTTTTGAGCATATTATCGTGAGACCTGATGTAGGCTACCCTTATCTCTTCACTGTTCCTTGTCTTAGCTTGTCCAAGTAACCTAAGGCCAACACTATGATGCTTGGCGAAGTGATAAGGGCAGTCTCTATTAGCTTGCTCATTGTTGGCCACCTGAAGTAACAGCAAACTATCATTTTTTCTCTTCGAATTCATTTAATTTTATAGAAGATTTGTCATACTCTTCCTTCACCAGCCCAAAGCATACCTGGTAACTAGTCAGTTTATTTAATCATCAAATGGCTTGATTTTTCCATATTTTTATCATCTAAATGAATTTCTTTTTTCTTTTTTCTTTTTTTTTTGGTAGAAGTGTCGTGCATGCATTACCGGAAGTAAGGCTCAGTTTGGAAAGCGTACAAATACAAATATCTACAGTGCAAATAAATACATAGAAAATAATATAAAATACAATGATTTGCACTCTACATATTTGTATTTATGCTCCTTCCAAACTGAGCCTAGGGCTGCATTTGGTTGCGAATCAAACACAAATAACACAAATATGTACTTTGCATAATTACTTGTTTTTTGGTTCATGAATGCAAACACGGTTCACATTTTTAAACCATTTTATACTCATCTTGTTTGTTTGAAATCGGTGCAAAGTGTAGGCCCCATCATTAATGCTCCAACTATCTATGCTCAATTCCTTAAACTTTGGTAAAAAAAGTAATATTATGACTAGCACAAAATTGTATCAAAAAATAGGTACAATAATGCTCTTCTCATAGAATAAAAATGTCAAAAAATACATTTTTGAGTTCTTAATCATTACTTTTTTACATGTCAAACAAATGCTTGCAAACGCAAATTGGAATACATAAATACCCCAGTTCCGCATTTGTATTGCAACTAAAGAAAACCTAAAAAAATAAGAAATTGGGTACATAAGGTAAGAGTGTAAGACGGAAGATCCTGGAAGGCCTGGCAAACCTTTTTATGGCCTTCCATATTGTCCTTTGTCAAAACATAAGAGAAGATGATGCTGTTTAAGTCTGAGCCAAGGTTCAAAGTATTGACATAGGTCGATATGCCAGTAGGGCGTATTCGTGTTTTTTTATATATATATATATATATTTTCAAAGCTGATTCAAAGGGATTGGTTTAAGTCTCGGTTACCTTCTGAATCATGGTCTGACCCGATATAACCCCTGGAAGGGCATATTGAGAAGTCATCGACATGATATCGGCTGATACATAGTTTGAACCTTGGTCTGAATAATTGCCCCAAGGATCATTGGTCCTTAGAGAGGAACTGGAAATCAGAAATTGGTCCTTAATTCAGCGGGAGTGTGAAGTGTGCTTGAAGCAAGTTATGTTTTGTGATGTCATGAGTCTGACGGTCTGACCCCTATATAATGAAAAAGAATCCTAAAATTCCCCCATCTAAGGAAAAAGAATCCTAAAATTTTAGTCCCCTTTTCTAGCGAACAAACCCCAGGATCTTAATCGGCTCATTATCTTCTCTTTAATCTTCCAAAGTTCAAAGTATGAAACACAGAGTGTTTATATTAGTATTGGAAAGGTGATTTAAGAGACGTATTAGGATATGATGGTTCTTCAGTTTTCTTTGTAGGTGGTTCTAGAGATCGGATGAATTATAATAGAAATAAAACTAAAACTATTGGATTAATTTGAGAGTTTCCGACGGATCCTTTATCCAAATCAATCCTACTTGGGTGTTTGGGTTTTTTTTTTTTTTTTAATCAAGGCAGCGTTGTTTTTATTACATACTACACATTATAGGACACATAGGAATCGGGGGTGGGGCTGAGTATGGGGCCTGTCAGATGCCAATCTTTAAATTATCTTGTTTTTAGCATGCATAACCAAGGCACAGCACACTATATGACGATATGGTCAGGCTTTTGATCCAGGAAACAGATTCAAAGTTTCAAACCAGATTTCTTCTGCCCAGTAGAAAAGAAAGTTGCTGAATTTGTGATCATTAGGGACACTTTTTTAAGCGCAAGAGAGGATTAGGCTGCATTTGGCATTCATTATTTTAAGGACTTATCTCTCTTTAGTTAAAAATTCAATATTCATAAAAGTATTTTAACTGCATAAAAGAGATAAATCCTTAAAATAAGAAATGCCAAATGTAGCCTTATTTTACTGAGATAACTCTTTTAATGGGATGACACAACCGGGTAGCCCATCCCCTACAATCCAGATCAGGTAGGTATTTAGAAATTTTTTTGACACCTGTCCCTTAAAAAGCCCCTAATCTATTATTGAGAAAAATTAAAATACACTTTTGAAATATTTATCAAATGCTTATTGAACATACTTACTATATTGTGCCTAGATTCGGTCCCTCCTATTTAATCCTCCAACCCAACCCTGATGTCAATGGGATTTTATTCCGGGTCTGTACATTTCATGCCAGCTATTACCAAAAGACAAAGGCCAAGAGGACCAAAGAGGCTCCAGATATAGGAATGTGGATTTTTTGCATTTTTTATTTTTTACTTTTTAATAAAGAAGAGCTGCTGGTGGGACAAAGCAAGATGTACGGGAGGTCCACCTATCCAATTGGGATCTGCTCCTCACATAGAGCGCCTCACACCGACATCACATGCATATCTCACCATGCATTGGAAACATCTCTTGTGAATAATAATGTATAAATACGGGAGATGTTTCCAATGCATGGTGGGATATACCTGTGAGGTCAGTGTGAGGTGCCTTTTGTGAGGAGCAGATCCGGTCTCCCACCTATCATGCCTAAGAGAGCTTATGTATTGGTTTGATCCTTGCACCTCCCAAATTTTGGAGTTTCATGCAATTATTGGCATGAGTTCAGATTGGCCAGAGACAAAATCATTAGAAATGAACACAACACACTGAAAATGTGTGTCTAATGTGGGCCTATGCATATAGAACACTGGTGTGTTCATTGACTTCATTCGTGATGGATGGGTTGCTTAGTCCATTATGTATGATTTTTTCTCTACAAAGTTCACTTTCTTACAGGGTATCATAATGCAAGGCTAAATTTGAGAATCAAGGCTTTTGATTTATTATAAGGGAAAATTTTCGATTAGTACCCTGTACTTTGGGTACAGGGTACTAATCGTTGGTTATGTGTATCATGTGATGTCATGTGCAACTTAAGACTTGAAAATATCAAAATTACCCTTAAAAAATAAAACACTTTTCATCATCTTCTTGCTCAAGAAGATGAAACAGAGGTGTAAAACACTGGTATGGTGGTGGTCTCACCTACTGGAATAGCATAACTCTCCCCGACTTCCTCTTGAAGTTGGTAAAATGGTATTCAACGTTCAAGAGAAGATTATCATCCATCGCCAGATTTTGGCATTTGGATGGTTGTTAAAGAAAATTAGATGACACTTAAAAGGTATTTGTATCTTTCCGCATGCCACTTAACGGCTGATTAAGGGCAGATATTGGATTAACACATTTTGAAAGTTCAAATACTGAATTTTCACGTTTTAATGTTCGAAGACCAAAGTGGCACTAGGCCCAAAGTACAAGGTACTAATCGGGCAATATATCAAAGCGTTCGTTGTTTTGACTCATTTCAAAAGGAATACAAATACAAATATATACAATGAGAAGGCTCTTGATCCTAAATTTTATTTGAAAAACAATAAATACAATACCACAAAGACCATGAAAAAAGATCAAATTATTCTTATTTTTGCTACAAAATACTATTTTTCTGTTGATTTAATTTGTTGGAAAGTGCACAAAACTCCTGAAGATGGATCCGTCTGATTTTAAGGAGACACAGTCACACACTCCACGCACAGTAATTAGCTTATTCATGACATTGGTCTATTAATTATATACAAGAAAGTGCATCTTCCACCCTTGTTCGTAGGAAGAAGTGTTTACATCTCTTGAGACAAACAGGCCAAGCCCACTTGCAGCATCTGTCTGTCTCTCTTGTCAATGTTTCTGTTTGTTTTATTTGAAGAAAATGTTGGAAAACCCAATATCTACTTCCTTGGGACCAAAGTCTTAGTAAATTATAGTTGTGGGCCATTAATGATGGTGATTGGTAGGGTAGGGGCTAGCTTTGCTCTTTGATGCATGACACAGAACATAGGACAAGTTGGGCATCAATGCTTTCTATCCACTAGGTTCCAATTTTCTCACTTTTAATTTCATTAATAATCATTTGATAATCCATGCAGGATTTGAATTCCTAGAAAGAAAAGAAAAGACTAACCAAATTCAAGTGGGCGCATTCTGATTGATCATAATGTTACTTTTTTTTTGTCATTTCATCTTTTGTGAAGCTATCTATCTAGTACTCAGTACCCTAAAGGTCTAAACACTATCTCATTTTCACAAGGGAGTTCTCTTCTTATATAGGCGGAGTGTTCATTTTTCAACAAACAGGAGGCTAATTTTGTTTGTAATGTAAACTTGAATCAGATACAAAATTCACTTTCGCATCTATTTGTAATTAGATTTGTTCAGGCTTGGGTTTAATTTTTGTTAAAATTTGAATGGATTTGGCCAAAACCCAAGCCTAAAATAGTGTAAAGCCGACCTGAAACACGAGTGGTGAATAAATCTATTTGTGACTGATTTGCAACTGATGCAAAAATTGGACCACTTTCTGCCCACCATAGTACTATCTCATATAAAATGGAGACCACACCATTCTGTTTCCTATCATACTCCAAAATAAATAACCTTACTCCTTTTTTTTCGTTGTCTTTCATATAGAGTGGGAATCACATCATTTAGCTTCCTATTTTACTTCTCAAAATCAAACATGACAATGTCAAATCTGAAGCAAAAATGATCCAGAATTTACACTCAGCCTGTCTACAAGTGGGAATATTTCAGTTATTATTTTTTGCTTTTTATAGAAAAAACTTTCTAATTCATTTTAATGAAAACAGTGCTAAGTTCCTTGAAAATTTAATATTCCATTGGTTTTATGTTGAAACAAACACAACCATGATATTTTTGGTGTAAAATACTCTGCTCAGGAAGTAAAATCTTAGTATTCATCTTGAGTTTAAATATTTGCCTCAATGTCTGAAATAAATGTAAAACAATGCACCAAATCAACAATGTATGTATTTAGTATAACTTCCATTTATTAAATAATTTTTTGTATTTGATTTGTCTTCAAAATCGAAAAAAAATATTTGATAAATCATTTATTGACAATTAGATATCGTTAGCCGCCACATCAATAAAACAGTGAATAAACGCTTTTCGTTAAGAGAAACATTAAAATAAAGCTTGATGCACATATAAATCAAACCCAAATACTGATTTGGCAATGATACTACTGCGTTTTAATAAACCCCTTACCCCTATGACGAAAAGTTTACAGAGCAAAGCAAAGCACACGCCTTATCACCCAATGCTCTAATGATGTGGGCTCAACCATAAATTTGAGCTGGTTTCTGCGCACGGTACGAAGCCGTGTATTCTGAGTGTCACGACTTTAGGGTTTGAGTCATCTTCTGCTCTTCTTGCAAAGAAGATTCATCTCCCCAGTCTCAGACTCACGTCCATCCATCCGTAACCGTAAGCTTGGCTCCTGGGGTAATCACTGGGTTCTGTCTGTCAACTGTGGTTGAGGGCTTGGCTTTTGTGTAGACTTACTACAGTTTCTGAACAGTGACGGCCCATAGGATGTAGGGCCCAGTCCAGTCGTATATTTCCAAAACCGTTTTAATCATGTTCTTGGAAGACCACTTAAGTCAATCACAATGGGGCTGATGAATGTCTGATGGGAGTGAACGAGATGCTCAAGGCCAAATGAAAGATTCCAAACTGCTAAAAATCGCCACACTGCAACGTTTTCACTCTCCACGAGAGAAGAGGGGTAATCCCCCAAAATGGTTTCAAATTCCAAAACTGTCCTATGGACCACCTACTCCAACAACGTTGCACTGAAATTCCAAAGAAGCCCTTCCTCCATGATTTTTTATGCCACAGCCCACAGGTGGCTGAACGTGTCATTCAACGGTCAAGAAAACGATAACTTAAATTTCATGGTTATCAGGCCCCATCGTGTGGTTGATGTTGTCACCGAAAAATAGAAGGCTTATATGTACGTGTTTTGACCATCTTTAGAACAAATAAACAATCCGTAGCGGGTTTGGGTCGTAGTCCGTGGGCCTTGGGATAGGAATGGCAACAACTAGGATATCCGTATAAATTGTCCTATCCATTCTCGAATACGTTAGGGATTTTTGCACTGCAATCTCCTTCGGAAATCTGATTTACAATCCTCATCTTAATTTATTAGTAGCCCCCTATAAATCACTTCTTGTCCCTAAAATTGACATTAATTCATGGGCAGATTCAGTCCACCCCTAATCGTTAATGTATGTTTGATATTACATTTGTCTAATTTTTCTTTTTAATTTTTCAAACTCGTTACACCTGTCTCGATTGGTTAAGCCCATGGCACCAAAATTTTTAGTATTATTTTAAGCCACTAAGTCATCTCGACTTTTTATGTTATTTAATGAAATAAAATAGATTTCATTAACTTTCGTGTTTATCAAAACAATCAATATGATTAATAATTCCAACTAAAAATTTAAAGAAATAATATTTAAAATTAGCATTTTATAACTAAACGAAATAAACAATCTATCAAATCCAAATTTATATAAAATGATAATTTTAATCCCAATAAATTTATATAAATAAAATATTAATAATAGAATAATTATCTTAGTACTTAAAATTTATAAATTTATACATGATATATAATAGATTCATATTTATACATCCCAGGTATCTAAACCCTAAAATCAAAATCCAAACAGTCTTAAACCCTATAAGATTTTAATCTAAAATCCCAAACCATCCGTACTTGGGGGAGTTTTACATTATCATAATCAAATTATCATTTTTCAGCAATCTAACCAAGCCCATGTCCAACTGAGATTCCCCCATCCTTTTAAGCTGTCCAATTGCGACAGGGAAACCCAACTGGCCACAGGCAAGATTTCATTTATTTCCAGTCTCAGAACTGTCGGTTCAAGCCTTCAAGGCTTCTAGTGGATGTTGGTCATCCCGGATTTTTTCTCGGGTCGGTTAATAAAATATACAGATCAAGAGTAACAGGGGAAGACTGAAGAGAAACCGGTCAAGGCATTTTGGTAATTAAGACTCATCACCGAGGACATTCAAAACATTTCCTAGTCGAGAAAGAAAAAAGGAACCAACTGAACTAGTGAACTGGCTCTTCTTTTCGTCTTCCCGTTGCAGCGCTACCGGTGTTTTCTGTTCTGGTCTGTTTGTTCTTCTGTCAGAAAAAGAATGAAAAAAGAGAGAGAAAGAGCTGTGCTGTTTTTCTGCGATAAGTCGATAACCTGCTTGGTTCATTAATGTCGGGAGAGCTCACTTTCTTCGATGAATGAAGGAGACCATGTGCTAGCAGTAAATGACTCGACGACGTCTACCAACTGCCTTTCCTCCTCCCTTGAAAATTTTACTGCATTTCATCCAAAGCTTCCTGGAGCTTAGATCTCCGCGTATGGTTGGTTCTTTCCGTTGATATCTGCATTACTTCTTCACGGGTTGGTCTGTAAATTGCTTGAGAAGCCAAATCTTCCTCTAAATAGGGATCTACTCCTGGTCATATCTTTCGTGGGGTTATTTTATTTTGGCTCAACTAGCTTCATCAAGCAGCATTTCCCGTGAACACGCTCCCTTGGCCGTCGGAGGCGGGTTTTTACTTTTAAGCCATCCCTTCTATATTTGCCGCGCAGGCCTTTTCCTTTCACCCCATTTCTTGAAAACTCGGTGCTTTCTTGAGAAGACATAGCTCTTTTGAAGTTATTACTCGATTCTGCGCTGCCATTCCTCTGTTTCTGCTTCATAGATTTTGCCCCAACTTGATTAAAGATCCAGCTTCAGCGAAAAACCAGTTCACAAATCATCCTTATCAGTTATTTTTCTCAAATAATTCTTGATAATCTTTCATGGACCCCTAAGCTGTTAAGCATGCTTCCACCTTTTCTTGTTTATATTTCTAACAAATTTTCTTTAGTTCATTTTCCCTGAAGTCGCTAAAAAGAAAACCCAAACTTGGTTTTTGTTTGCTTGGCTTTTTCTTATCCAATGACATCTTATGCCTTGTTTCTGCTGCTATGTTTTCCTCTGCTTTTCTCCATTCCTGCTACCCATCAGTTGCAAACCTACCAAACCCAAGTTCTCCTACAGCTAAGGAAACACTTGGAATACCCACAGGCAATTGAAGTTTGGGACAATTACAGTGGAGACTTATGCTTCTTACCTTCTTCTCCACAGATGACCATTGTATGCCAAGGCAACTCTATAACGGAGCTCAAAATCATGGGTGACAAAACCGATAAGGTCAGTACGTTCGAAGGATTTGCAATTCCTAACCTGACTCTGTCAGAGGCTTTCTCCATGGATTCTTTTGTCACAACCCTGTCCAGGTTAACCACGCTCAGAGTTCTTAGCTTGGTATCTCTAGGGATTTGGGGCCCACTTTCAGACAAAATCCACCGGTTATATTCACTTGAGCTTCTTGATTTGAGTTCAAACTTTCTAGTGGGTTCGATTCCTCCGAAGATTTCTGCATTGGTACAGCTTCGCTCTTTGACATTGGATGGAAATTTCTTCAGTGATAGTGTCCCGAACTGGTTCGATTCCTTATCAAATCTGTCGATTTTGAGCTTGAACGGCAACCAATTGAAGGGACCATTTCCTTCTTCAATATGCAGAATTAAGACTCTTACTAGTCTTGCTTTGTCTCACAATCACGTATCTGGTAAATTACCTGATATGGGTAGCTTAACTGATCTGCGCATGTTGGATTTGCGGGAGAACCGGTTGACTTCTGAAATACCTCGGTTGCCGAAAGGTTTGGTCACGGTCCTCCTGAGCAGTAATTCCTTCTCCGGTGAAATTCCTCAACAATTTGGTGAGCTTGATCAGCTTCAACATCTCAACCTATCATTTAATTATCTGACTGGAACACCACCTGCAGCAATTTTCTCTCTGCCAAATATCAGTTATCTGAATTTGTCGTTCAATAAGCTGACCGGATCACTTCCCTCCCATCTAAGTTGCAGTGCCGAACTTGGGGTTATTGATATTTCTAATAATAGATTAACGGGTGGATTACCTACTTGCTTGAGCTCTCAATCAGATAAAAGAGTTGTCATGTTTGGCGGGAATTGCTTATCTGTTGATCCACAACACCAGCATCCAGAGTCATATTGCAAGGAAATCCACATGATGGATAAAGAGTCCGGGGGCATGAGTATAGGAGTATTAATTGGTGTTATTGGAGGAGCTGTTACTGTTGTGATACTTTTGGCATTTGGGTTTCTCATTTTGAGTAGAAGATATTGCCCAAGAGGGACTTCTGAGCGGCACTTAACACGGAAGGCAGTCCCTGATAGAGCGCCAACAGGATACTCCTCCGAGCTCCTTGCAAATGCAAGTAAGTTATTTGCTTGTACATCTCCCTAATCTTACCATTCTTCATCCAAACCTTAGACATTCACCCATGACCTAAGTTCCAACTTCCACCCTTTGAAAGTAGACTTCATTATGAGTTGTAAAATTGTTTCCTTGGATCTAGTGGAGTTTTATCATTGATTTGTTTTCTTTCTTTCTTGTCTTTCTCTTCAGGGCTTGTTTCTGAAGCAGCAAAGCTAGGGACACAGGGTGTACCAACATATCGGGTTTTCTCTCTAGAAGAGTTAAATGAAGCCACAAACAATTTTGATCAGTCAACATTTATGGGCGAAGGTTCAATGGGAAAGGTGTCCCACTAACTAATGCATCCCCTTCCTCTATTGTGTTTATTCTGCCTTATTTCTCCACAGTTATACCAACAATTTACTTGGTAGAGTAGCAATGACTAATTCCTTACCACAAAAAATGAAGAAAAAAAAAGGAAACGGACATTCTGGTGAAGTTTATTTAAGAAATAACCACATGGGAAAAATGAATCATCTTGAATGTATCACATGATACTGAACCATGAATCTTACCGCTTGAGAGGTTCTCTTCTATCAGTCATAATTGATAAATATGGTCTCTTCTTGGTTCAACCGCATAAGGATTTCATATCTGTCTAAAGAGACCTTTCTTGACTTGTCTCTCCTTTTCTTTTTCCAGCTCTTCAAGGGATGGCTAGAGAATGGCACCTTCGTTGCTATAAGATGCTTGACATTGTCTAAGAGATTCCCAATTCGAAACCTTAAACTCCGGTTGGATTTAATTGGTAAGCTGCGGCACCCACATTTGGTTTGCCTCTTGGGGCATTGCATTGATGGTGTTGGACAAGATGATTGCTCTGTCAACAAGGTCTTTCTTATTTATGAGTATGTGGCTAATGGAAATCTCCGTACTCATCTCTCAGGTCAGTTTACCTTACCATACAAGCAGGCATTGAGTATAGAATCTTTTGATCAAATAAGGTTCAGTCTTAATATGGTAACCTGTATCGCCATAAGCATCTTTAATTAGATGTATAGTATTCATACATGAAGCAAAGGCAAGGAAGCCTCATCTCTTCCCACCTTTTTTTTTATCAGTTCATCTCTTCCCACCTTAGAGATATTCTTTTGTTAAATATCCAACCAACTAAATTATTTTAAGTTCACTCATCCTATGCCCAATTCTGGATGGTGAGAAGTAAGAAAATGGCCATAAAGAAGTTTAATGACGAGGCAATTATGCAATCAGGTTAACATTGACCTCATTTATATTGTAGCTGGGACTTGTCTTACAGTTGGCCTACATAAACCATGTGCATGGATATTCCGCTTGTAGACTAAATGATTCAGACTATGGTTCTATCCATTCTTTACTCCTAAGTCTTCTATGCAGTGTGTCTATATCCCTCTAATCTAACTATATCTACATTTTCAGAGGATAGCCCAGGCAAAGTTCTTAAATGGTCAGAGAGATTGGCAGTTCTTATTGGTGTTGCAAAGGCTGTGCATTTCCTACACACTGGGATAATTCCTGGTTTGTTCAACAACCGATTGAAAACAAATAATGTTTTGCTTGACGAGCATCAAATTGCAAAACTAAGTGACTATGGGTTGTCCATTATCACAGATGAAATCATCAAGCTTGAGGTGAGGGTACTTGATGTGTGAATGGTATGCCTTGCACACAATTTCAGTGTCCTAATACTTTACCCATGTTCTACTTGTTTTGCAGGTGAAGGGAGAAGGCCAAAAATTGTAAGGATTGAGAGCTCCTCACAATACCTCTTTTATTATTGGTTTGAAGTCAAGATTGTGTTGCATATAAAAATAATTGTATATGATCGTCTGAGATTTACACTAAGAGATGTCTCTTCATGTTATTAGGAGTTTCAGTTATCTTAGACTGTATGGTAAAAATTATCTTTCTGAGAATTGAAGTAGTTGGATCACCAACCAAGCCATACGGACAATAATTTCTATTGAAAAAAGAAATTGAACAAATTAACATTGAAGCCTGGGAAATACAAATATAATAGTTACTAAAATAAAAATTTAGTTGTTGTATGGTGTAAGTGTATGAATATATTTGAGTAACTCTAACCAGCAACACCTAAGAATCGTGGGGGAGAAAAAGAAGAAATGAAGAAATATTTGGAACAAGTATATTGTGTATCTAATTCTGGGCCTCAATTTCTTTTTGTGCTATTGTTTATTGGATTTTTTTTCTTGGATTGGTGTATTTATGGATTAAAAGTTCAATTACATTTTGCTGATAAAAAAAGAAGTTCAATTACATTTTTAATGTGCTTTATTGCAAAAAAGCACATGTTTCAAAAAATAAACAATATTTACATAAGAGTATGCAACTTTGGCCCTACATAGAATATGTGACATGCGCTAGAAAAGGGGCTCCTCATTTACATTCAATTTGAAGGAGTCTAAATAAATCTGAAGACCCTTAAAGTAATCATGAAGTATGGAATCCCAGTCTTACATGAATGCTCTAGATTGTGATGGGCCTCACATATGGAATCTTTGAACATCAGAAACTTGATGGGATTATCATAGTACCCTATCCATTTGTCATAATTTTTAACTACTGTAAGAGATAGTATTCTATGACAAATTTTCCATTTTGTGGGTTCTAAGAACCCATGCAGTTAAGCATATGAATATTTTGCAAGATCTGACTTTGGGACTGTCCATTTCTGCAGGCAGAGAAAAAAGTTAGAGGATGATGTGTATAGTTTTGGATTTATATTACTTGAAGCACTTGTGGGACCTTCAGTATCTGGAAGAGGAGAGGCGTTTTTATTAAATGAAATGGTATGCAGAAACTTAATTTGGAGTCTTTTTCTTTATTACTTTTTGTTATTGATACAAGGAGATCGCTTTCATGGAATACGGCTAGATTGTGGCCATAACTGTTGTGGGATGAGCTATGAGGGGAGCCCCTCATACACATGAACCTTATAGACACCCATATTTTTGATTTATTACACCCATCTGAGATGTAATCAGAAGTAGAAAGAAAAAGAAGGGGTGGGGAAGGTGCATCGACTCGTAGTTGATGAAATATTGGAGAATTTATGTGCTGAGATGATGTTTTACAGCAAGATCTAGAGAATTTTCAGAATTTCTGATGCTTGTGATGATTATATCTTCAGAATTAATGAAATCAAACTTCATTTATCAAAAAAAAAAAAAAGATCTAGAGAATTTTCAGAATGGAGATAGTTTATAATTTATGACACTGCAGATAGAAGGTCCTTTGCTTTTCTCCTGAAAAACGGTGCTGCGGATGTCGTCGGTACTTCGTTGCTTGAAATATAAATGAATCTGAGACTAGTATTCTCATTTTGCAGGCATCATTTGGTAGCCAGGATGGTCGAAAAAGAATTGTGGATCCAGTTGTCCTCACCACTTGTTCTGAAGAATCATTATCAATTGTTATCTCCATAACAAAAAAATGCATATCCCCAGAATCATCCAGCCGACCTTCTTTTGAAGATGTCCTCTGGAACTTGCAGTATGCATCTCAGGTCCAAGCAACAGCAGATGGGGATCAGAGATCAGATGCGACTTCACAGACATCCATATCCCAGCAGAACTAGACTCAGCAACATCACATTCATTTTAGGAACCTCCCTCTTGAAGGACTCAAATGGTTCTGCCAACACATAAATGTTGCCTATTTTTGGCTGCTTTTAGTCCATTTTCTCCATCTTCTTCCATTCTTTTCCCCTTCTCTTTTCTGGAATTGTAACATAAATGTCTTTATTTACATCGATTATAGTGCAAGGAAAGATTGAATGGCTTTCAGCAATTTCTGGTGTTGTTTCTGGAATCAAAATTTTTCGGTGATGTCATATTTTTGTCGACTATGATACACCCTAAAAGATGGACCATGTGCAGACACACTCTTGGAGAATTGCTCCACTGCACCAGTGAAGGGCTGAAAGGATGGTAAGAATCATCCTTTTTAACAAACTAGTAAACAAGTACGTGCATTTGCACATGACAATATCTCTAAGACAAAATTATTTATAATTCATGGGCAGTTTTTGAACAGTTATAAGTGGTTAGTTTCTAAATTATTACAAGTGGACAATTTTTGAACAATTACAAGTGGGTAGTTTTTGGAGTGAGAGTAAAAGACATATGTCTTTTTTTATGTTCCGTGTATGTTGCTTAGATAATGGGTAAAAATGTCTAATGAAAAGTAAAAAAAATTGGACTATTCGTTCTTTTATTAATAGTATAGATAAGTGTGTAGAACTGTAAAACGTGGCATGCTGGACCGACACGGCATGACGTGCAGACCATTCCAGGCCTTGCCTTCCTCCCCTAGGATATTTTGGGGATCGGCCTGGAATGACCCATGGCCTGAGCTTGCGTGGTTCTATGATGTATATAAATATATATAGGGTTTATTTTATTAATATATATATATATATATATATATATATATATAAATATATATAGGGTTGGGCACATGCTAGGCCACAGGTGACATGGCACGCAGTCATACCGTGTTACATCAACCCACGGATCTAAAACCCTCGGTCTAGCATTGGCATGGCCCGATTTACACCTCTAGATGAATGGAATTAAACTTAATTATCACATTATTTTCAATCCGTCATTGACCCACCCAGCTAACTGAACTAAGTCCCAATTCGAATTCTTGAATTGATTTGTTAACATCAACTGAGGGTACTCACTGTGGTGGTGCGATTTCGATTTTCGCTATTATTATCAAATTGTGTGGTTACTTGAAGCTGTTGATGTAACATTGTCCTCTTCACTTAAAAAAAAAAAGTTGTCAACCTGCAATAGTTTTTGGGCTGATTTTTATTTTATTTATTTTTAAAAATCACGAATTGATACGTTATGGTCGAACCACTGGTTAGAAACCGATGTCCAAAATGGTTCCTCTTCCGAATCGATTTTTAAAACATTATTCAAAGATCCCTCGAGAAATTTTTAGGCTGTGTTTGATTTAAAGGAAAAAATAAGGGAAGGAAGGGAATTATATGTTGTAGGTTTCCCTACATTTCCCTTTCTTTCCCTATTTTTTCCTTCAAATTAAACATAACCTTATAGCGTTGTGTGAGGACAGTTTTGGTGCAAAGGACCGGCCACAATAGATGGTCCTCCAGAGTCCAGATCGCCTTATCATGACCATTCAAATCCAAATATTTGCAAAAAAAAGTTTATGTAGATCAGATGGTCATGATTGGTGGACATGCACAACTGGCGCAGAACAGAAGGCTAGAAGAATATTACGTGGTGAACCCTGAACCAGCCCATTGTTCAACAACCTCTCTCCCTTCCCCCCCTGTCTGGTTTATCTGCAGATCGCCACTTTCTGGTTCCTTTATCATTCTAGATTGGTAAAACGACCATTAGAGCTCCTCCAAACGCTTGATTTTCACGGAATTTGCGAAGCTCGTCACTCTTCTGCGACATTTCATGGTACGCAATCTCCTATTGTCCCATCATCTCATTTTCTCTACACTAGCCATACGCTTCCATTGTTACTATGTCTTGATTTCCGTCTAAAAAATATTTGAGTACTCGGAGAAATGTCGAGTTTGTCGTCGATCTGCTTTAGGGCTAACAATGGACTTGATATGACATAGGATTTTTTTTTTTTTTTCTGATGGAAAATTCCTTTGGGAGATGTCGCGTTGATTTTTCTCTTGTGCGGTTTTAAGTATCCAATAGCTGTAGCCTGTAGCGAACCAAAGTGTTGTATGGATGGGTTGAAAACCATTAAGAAGGGAATCAGAAAGGCCTAAAACATATCAAGAACAAAACTTTTATATGGAATTGTATCTAAGGGCCAATGCCTGACACCATCACACCTCTACCAAAAGACACAAAAGATACAACTTCTCTTTGAGATTCTTGCAGTTCTCTTTTCCTCACTAAACCATAGGACTTTCAGTTTTGAAGGGCCAAGCAGTTCAGTGCCCATTTGGGTGTGGATTTCGAGGGTTGTAAATTACCAAGTCACCATTCTATTACACAATATTTCTATTGCTTTTGACAGTACTGCTGCCTCGGTTCATGGGTTTTTTTATCGGTAACAGATCAAGAAGAGTTTATTAATATAGGGCTTGATAGGAAGCATCTAGCTCAATCGAACTTACCTTATGCCCTAGAACCAAAATAGAGAGGACTTATTGAATTTATAATTGTCTGCCCCCAGGGCAAGATCATCAGTACAATTTTTTCCTCTTTAGCCCTCTTGCCAAGTCATCTGCTATAGAATCTGTAGATCTAATCAACAATCTAAATGTGTTGTTCATGTCCGGTGCCAAAGCTCTAGTCTCTCTTATTATATGCAAGTGTCTTCTGTGCTTATAAATGAAGGCGATGGAATGTTTTATATAGAAAATCAGCATATTTATGAGAAGAAAAAGATGAAAGAAAATAAAATTCATAAAATATAGGGGCCAAGCCCCTATTTTTGTCCAAGAAAAGGGAAAAAGGGGTGATGATAATGATGCTAAAGAGAAAGAATGTGTTGAGTGGACAGAATTTTTTCTGTTCTTTTTTTTTTCCTTTAAAACTGAATTCAATTGTGAATAACTAATTTAATTGATCTAAACTTCTTTTCTGATTGTCAACCTTGCATTTTTGTAGGGTCCCATCAAGAGCGTTCTTTCTCTTCCAAGGGCAGCTATAGTCCATCACTCCAGTAAGAAGTGGGACTTGGTCTGCAGATCATTCAGTACTCAAGCTGCAACTACCTCAAGCACGCCACAGCCTCCACCACCACCCCCGCCTCCCGAAAAAATCCATTTTGGTGGTCTGAAAGACGAGGATCGTATCTTTACAAACCTCTATGGGTTGCACGACCCTTTCCTGAAAGGTGCCATGAAGCGGGGTGACTGGTATAGAACTAAAGACTTGGTACTTAAGGGCTCTGATTGGATTGTCAATGAAATGAAGAAATCTGGTCTTCGAGGCCGTGGTGGAGCTGGTTTTC